TTTAGGCCAATCGGTTAACAGTTTCTGAATTTACCTAGGCACACGAGCGCATTCTTCAAAGTTTTGTAGGCCCAACTGCCCATCTGAGCCCAGACCCCATGAGAACACCTGCCCTTTGTCATTCAGGGCAAGTGTATGGGACTCTCCACATGACACTGCCAGTATGATCTGTGCATCCAGGGCCACAACCTGTTCTAGTAAAAGACAAAGAGAAACGTGACTAATGATTTCACTAAGTGTTTGTACATATACATATATACAAACACACACCACCAACCTGGTTTCTTTCTGGACTTCTCATGCCCCAGCTGCCCGAGGTCATTGCAGCCACAGGTGTACACTGTCCCGTCCTCCAGCAGGAAGGCTGTGTGTCTGTGGCCACACCCCAAATCGCACACTTGCTTCCCGTGAAAGAATTCACATTTTCGTGGCTCAACCACAATCTCTTCATCAATCCCACCCAAGCCTAACTGTCCGTAGGAAGCATTTCCCCAGCACAGCATCGTAGCTCTCCCCTTTGGCTACACGAGCCAGCAGGATCCCCGTCTCTGCAAAGACGAGAGAGACACCTCGGCTAATGTAACCTTACAGAGCACGTTCAGACACCCATAGTTTTGGTTGCAAGATACACTTCAGCTGGTATCATCTAGCAAGGTAACGTTAGCCGAATAACGTTATGGATAACTAACATTATCGCTAACACACATAGAACACTCGCGTGCGAGTGGCTAGCTGTCTTGTCTAGCTGCTAGCTGTCTTTAGGATTGAATGATACAACACACGATATCAAAACGAGCTCGTAGCTGCACGGGTAACATGTAAACAGATTAGCCAAGTAAGCTACAGTTAAATGTTCGGTTACGTTAGGTTAGCTAAATTACCGAAGACCGACTTCCGTTTTGGCCGAATGGAATTCCAAATTAAAAGTGCACGTCTAAACATGTTAAGAAAATGTACTACTTATTGAAAGAACATTTTACCCACAACTAAAAGTGCAAAGTAATGATAAACCCAATAACTGCCATTTTTCTTCTGAGACTTAGCGATGTATGCATATATTTGTAATATTCAAAACGGAAGTAACGTTATTATTCTTGTTCTGATACAGTCTCTGACAGGAGCGTTGAAGACAGCATGCCTCTTGACGTTCGTTTTACCATAAAACAAAGTGGTGACATTGATTTAGCGTAGCTTTTCTCCAACAGTGCTGTAATCATACTATGGCTGAAACGTTAATGTTAGCAAGTTAACGTAAGTCTCAACATAATGTACGTTAGCTGAGTTAATTTAGTAAGCAGACAGCATTCATAAGTAGAGCAATTTAAACACATATTAATCCCTTACGTCTTGTGGAAGTTGTAAACAAGTTAACATCAGGTCTAACACGTCATAACGTTTCTATAACGTTAAAGCCAAATACCAAATCTTACCAAACCCGCCAGATCTGACAGTATTATTGTCGTCCAGCCAGCTGCTGATCCGACTGTTAAAAACGCAGACAAGCACACTTTCAGCGGCCAACAGCAAGCGAGTTGTGGTTATTCCTGCCCAATCCCTCCCCTTCACTGTCTGTCAACAACTGCTGCACGGGGCTGTTAAAGAAGCTCAAAAAGTCAGCTGCACTAGACTCTGAATGTCCGTTTCTTCTTTCAGAAGTAAAACTTATTTTGTAGTAACATGGCGGCACGGCGTAAAAGGCAGTGCGGCTGCGATTCACAGTTTCACTAGATACCGAGAATACTATCAGGATTATCTGATCACCTTCCTTTCAAAGGTTGGTGTTGCTGAAGTGTAAATGTGTTGACTTTTAATATGAAGGCAAACTCATTTAACCGGAAGTTTAACTTTGTAGAGGCGAAGAAATGTCGCGATTCATCCACAATGTTATAGATGGGGCGCACACGCGCATGCGTATCGTGCCGCTTATACATGTACGTGAATGAATGTATTGCCTTCGCTAGCCTACATATTATATGTAGTTTTGTATACAACACATGTATGTGTACGGTTGTGTGCAGGTTGTGTGAAACTAAAAGGAATGGTGAAAGTGCAATAAGTGTGCATGCGCGTGGGAAGGTTCTTAGTGCTCATATTCTTATCAACTATCATTGGAAGACATAAGTTATAAATGCCCATAGAAAAAGACAATTTAATAAGGAAAACTATTCTACAATTTACGAATATATTCCAAGAGGCTTATATAAAGGAATCAAAAGAATAGTAAAGTTAAAATCTGTACTACAAAAACACTGGAATTATAATATATGAGATGAGATTATACTTATTCAAAAATTCTTATTTATTATATACAATATTCAAATTATTTTTATTTTATTCAAATTTTGCTAACCTCATGACCTTACGATGTCATTAGAAGGATCTGGAACTTCTCTGCTGGACCTCATTTGTCTCCCTCTGTTGGACGTTATACATAAAGTCAGTCTCTCACCAGTGCACTTGTTTTTTGTGAAAAAAGTAATCGCATGAAGGGTCTTAAGCACTATTATATTAACTAGCTTTGCTAGCAAAGAATATCTAGAATAGCTTGTCTTTGGTGATGCCACAGAACAACAAAAAAAACAAAACTAACTAATAGTATAGCAATACTACAATAAAAAAAAAATTCCAATACAAGTAAAAGTGTTGAAAATCCTAAAAGTAAATGTACAGAAATATCATCAAAATTGTACTTAATGTATTAAAATTAATGCTGGAATATGGCCCTGGAGAATGTAACAGTATCATTAAATATATGTTGGATTGTTTACACTGATGTGTTCACACATTAATGTTGTAGTAGGTCCAGGAGGAGCTAGATTAAAATATTTACTATGCTGTTAGGTGGTTCATAACAATGTGTTTTATTTTAGTCTATTTTACAAACCTAGATTTTGTAAGAAAAATCTAAGTATCTACAGCAGTCAAAAAAATGTAGTGGAGCAAAGAAGTACGATATTCCTTTCTTATTATTCTGGAGTAAAAGTACAAAGTGAAATCCAATAAAAGTACTCAACTTAAGTACAAATACTTCACAACTTTACTTACATGAGTAAATGTACTTGTATATGTATGTTCTTCATAGCACTTGCCATAAAAGTATTCGTGGACAGCCGCCACACAAAGGGGTTAACTTGGATTATTTGATGGCAGTATATATGATGAATAAATTAGCAAAAAACTGCAATACATTGTTCTTTTCGATCAATACACTTCCAAAGTAGGTTAGGTACTGGTGATAGATGGTAATTCATCTAATCTTTTCCAAGTTTTTCACAGTGGTGCATTCAATTTGAAATCATAGATCACAGTCGTAACTCCTTTCTTTTATTGCTTTACGCAGGTGACAAATACAGTCTAAATTTCAAACTGCGTTAACACTGAAAGGCAACAATAACCCTCCTTCCATAACAATAGCTCATTCTACGCAGTCGCTTGCGTACCAGCACTCGTGTCTCGTGATTAACATCTTTCAATTGTAAAAACAGGTGCTTGTTAAAATCCAGTTGATCCTGTATTGCTGGTTCTTCACGGGGTTTTCCTTTGGAACTTACGCACTCTGGTCCGGTGGCTCAGAGCAGCAGGAACTTATTTCACTCACATAAGTTACAAATCAGCGCACAAACAGGACAGAACCAAGAGGAATAGACATGTTGCACTTGCTGGGAGTAAGTAAAAACATCTTTTTACATTATCTTAATTACTTCATGTCAACTAATCAACGCTTTTGTTGACTGTTGACTGTAGTTTATGTTATTTTGACCAGTGTTTTCTTTTAACATGCTCAGGTCGTTGCTGGCCTTATCTTCATCATAATGTGCTTTTCAAAAGGACTCAAAGAGGTGAGTTTCTCTTGTGTATGATTTTCTGTTTAAAAATGTAATTCAGATAAAGAATTTAAAAGACAGGAACAAACAAAAACAGCACCAGAGCTGCTCGAGGAAGTGACCAGTGTTAGGAAGAAGGAAATAAAGTGTGATTCTCGGCAATGATGCATTATTTCCTTTGACAGGGAATTAAACCTCAAAAACTACTATCTGAAACATCTACCAACAACAAGAAAGTGAGTAACCATCCGAAGTTAAATGCTGGAATCATTTGGGATAATTGAGATGGTATATTTTACATTCATCTTTTCAACAGAAGGATTTGACAGAAGAAGATGTGCATTTATTGGCCAAGATCCTTTCAGTTGGATTGGTGGATGCAGATCCAAACTATCTCCACCATCTTAAAGGCTTCAGAGACCTGCGTGGTGCCTGATTCAACACATCAAAAATAAGGACATTAACAGAAATGGATGGACAGTACACATCTGGAATTTTGATGGCATCCAAATTCAGCATTGTGTTTTGGATTACCACAAGTCCAGTTATTCCTGCAGCCCGCAGATGTTTCATCATTAATGGAAAAATATGCACTTTATTACAGGTCAAGCATGACATTGGTAATGAATCACAAAAGAACTCCCTTTTGTGCAGAGAGGAACTCAATAGTGCTTATTATCGAGGGGATAATGTTGATGTTGGATCCTGTCTGCTTCCTGTATTGCTGAGTGGGTCATTTGTGGAAAAGAGCCTCTGATTGAATTCAACCTGCCTCTTTTTAAATCAGGAACTGCTTAAAATGAATATGATAATAATAATATAGAAAGGAGGATTACTTGCTGTTGCTGTCAGTGGTACTTGCTTTATTTGGCTTACTTTGATGTTTAAATTGCATTATTCAAGTGTTTGTGCAATGCAAATAGCCCACTCCTTTATTGAGCTGTAAAACTACACTCTAATATTTACATCGAAGTATAAGTGTTACACGATATAGCTGTTGGATGCAGTTTCATGACAGATTAACTCCTTTAAAGTGAAACTAAAACTCTGTAACATTTGTTTAACAGCCACTACTGTGGATAATAATGGAGTGAAAAATGATAGCTAATTTTAGCTGAATGCTAAACCGTAACGTTAGTTTACTGCTTGCTAAATAGGAGTTACGAACTACGAAGCTACTAATCATAGACCAACAAAGGTTGTAGCATCAAAACCCCTGAGTGTATTTATTTGAGCAATGTGGCCTTTTATTGCCTATAATTCTAACTTTTCATCTGAAAGAGGAAGATTGTGTTACTTCCTCTTTTAAAAGTTACATAGTCATAGTTTAAGGGATTATGCCTACTGTTTGATGATATTTATGTGGCAGAGATGCTGAGTTACTTTGCTTTTCTTGTCATGTTGTTCATGTCCTTACCTAGAGTAAAGGAGACAAAAGAGAGAGAAGGAAATGAGACACAAATTAACATGCGATCCTATGTTTGTACCCAGTGATTAATTCAATGCCTCTTACTCCAAACATGGCTGTTGAGCTGGTCTCCTAGCACGTAGAGCAATGTCACCACCGTCATGTTAAAAACGAAGAAGCCCACCAGACCAGCAGTGCTGAAGTACGCCAGAAGGGGGTACACCCAAATCCCAACTGACAAGTACACCCATATAATCCTGCAGAACATGTTTAGAGAGAAATAAATAAATAGTATCACTGTATCTGTCTGAGCATCTTGTACTGTCTTGTCTGTCTCAACGGCACATAGTTTCCACCCATTGGCACTGAGGACACAGATTATACTATTGTAACAGCAAAACACACAGCACAAAGAATCTCCCCCTGAACATCAGGTATATTTATGGTTTGTACCATCAGACACACAAGGATCTGTAGGCAGCATTGCAGTATGTGAGCCAACTATTGAAGGTTCAAAGGAAGTTTTTATCCCTCAAGCTTTTTGTATTGTGAAATAATAAACACTGCTGTACTGAACTAGTCTGGACTAGTTATAGTAAGAACATAGACACATTTAAACACTCATGTGCTTTCAGACACGTTATGTCAGAGATTGATTTAATCTATTTATGAACTTATATCTTTATTTTATTTATTTATTGTATTTATTTATAATTAATTCTCCAGTCCTCTTTATGTTAGTGTTTCTTAATTCCTTTTACCCCTGTTTAGGCTTTACAATTTGTTATTTTTTAGTCAAAGACATCTTTCAGTTTTATAATACTGGCTTATTTTTTTTTAAGTTTGAAGAGGTGCTGCACGTCTATCAATCTGCATCCATTATAGTGATGTCGAGTGACCTCTTATTTGTGCTTTTTATTGGTCTGTCATATTATTGGTACACCCCACTGACCAGTCCTGATGCAAAGGGTTTTGTTTCATGACTTTTACTCAGTGCAGTGCTGCTGATCAGTATTTCTACATCTCTCCGATTCAAATAATATTAGAAATTTGATCCCAAAAAATGATATATGAAAGATCCAGTCAGTTTCAAATGAGCAATATTAAATTAAGAAGGATTTCATTGTTTTAAAATGCTGTGATATTTGTATGTCAATTATATACATGAAAATTAAATGTTTCGTCATGATTCTGCTGCATATGCTGACTCGACACTTACCAAATTAAGTATGCCGAGCCCACACCTCCTAATGCTGCCAGTGCATATTTCGTCTGTGGGTAGATGTGAGGCTGCACCAGCACTTCTCCAAGTAAAGCAGGAAGGACAAATGTGTGCTGAGAAAACAGGATGAGAATAACTCATTATGAGTGATGGTTTATGACAGGAGAATTAGGATTATTACATTTTTGGCACATGTTTGTTGAAAATGCAGATTTACAAACCATAGCATGGTTTATCCAGGGAGGAAAGAAGGTGTCAATTGTAGCTGGGTAGACTAATTCTCTGTCATAGGCAAAGAGCGTCCAGAAAAGTAGAACAACAAACTAAACGAAATACACAGAACATGGAGTTAACGTAAAATTCTTATTTAATGATTAAAAAGATGTAGCATTTTAAAACATTTTTTTCTCACCGTGCCCACAGGGAAGGCAAAGACCGAGAAGAGAAGGTCTTTACATCTGTTTAGAGTATTCTCTGAATGTTTCACAGCTTGTAGATCATTCAGGGCCGCCAGTCCAAAGAATGACATTTGTAGTAACTAAAATGTTACAAGTAACATAATTGTTTTCCATTTTCCATTTTCAATTCTGCAATATACATTATTGTAAACTATTACTACTATTATTATTAGGTAATATGGTTGATGTTCTCACCAAATTCAAAAAAGTAAGGTACTTCCAAGGTCCTCCATAAACAAAGATTCCTGGTGGCAACTCCTCTCCCTCCTTCGCAATGAGACTCTTCACAACAAATGCATACCAGCTGAATGCTGCTACGTGGTACACTCTCCTCAGGGTTGAAGTCATTCTAGTGTACAACAAACAACCCAACAAAAATAGTTTAAACAATGGCAAAAACTACTCTTCTTGAGTTTCCCCCTCAAACTGAGGTACAGGGAAGGCAGTGAAGGTTATTTAAAGATTAGTGTAATTCAGCACAAGCTTAAGGCATTTTCAAGCAGCGGAGACAAGAGGCCCACTGTTTCTTATGAAGCATAGGAGTCCTTTCATAATCAAAGCCATGTAGCATGTGACTGGAGGCAATTTAACTTAGAGTGAAAGGATAGTGTTTTGCAAGAGAAGTCGTGCCACGTTAAGTAAGCTAATCAGTCCAAGTTAAGTAAGAAATGAAGTTCAAGTGAAGTGAATCATGATCATTTGACAAATACACTTGAATTGATCTTTACAGAATAGACTAGACTAGAAGGTGTGAAGCTTGTCAAAGAACGGGAAACATTTACCCAGAGTTGATTCTGAGCAGTCATAACATGTCCTGAAATCCTCAAGTGTCATTGAGCAACATACTGAATGTCCGCCAGCATCAGGTAGGCTGTTTAAAAGTTGACCGTGATTTTTATTTGTCAAATTGTGAAATTGAAAAAAAATGACAGCCATGACATGTATAAATCAGATCATAAGATACAAATACCATATCTGTTATTTGACAGATGACAAACAGACTCAATTTCGCTTTTTTTTAAGATCCAAGAGAAGAAAAATTGTTACATTTGTTTTTTTTGGATTTTGTGTTCTGGCAAGTATTAAAGTGTTCAGGGATTTGCATGATGGTCATGACAGATAATTGGCCTGAGGGTGGTTGTTAAAAAGGGTGTCTGTTGCTTCAGGGCTGTGTGGACTAAGGAGCAAATCACTGGCCAGCAGAGGGCGCTCCTCCTGATTCCTGTGAAGCAACAAAGAAGAACAAGACCAGCTTGCTAAAAGCATAAAGAGTAGCCAGGACACAAAGACAGGCGCTGTGTTTAACATTTAGAGCATTAATAAAGCCGCAAACAACGATTTGCTAAATAAAGATATAGTGGAGAAATGTCTACCGAAGCAGGGAATGTAATATGCTTACACAGTTCTTTTTTTCTGTTATATCTTCATGTTTATGAATGCAGCAAGTTAGAACAGTGTATTATAGTAAGATAGACACTAAGCTGGAGAGGCATATGTTATGTTTATTAAAGAACTATTATGTATATCATAGTAACATGCTGTATGTTTTGTTATCTGTATACATATTCCTATATTTTTGTATTGTTTATGGTTCTTTTCACAAACCACACGTCCCATTATTACAAGTTATATGCACTTTAAAATGTGAACTGCTCTCTGTAAAGGCAAACCCAGAGTTCTGACCAGACTTTCCACAGCGACTTCAACTATCCAATCTCCACCAAACACTATTTCTCAGTGATGCTAAAGGAAAGGTCATTGTGGTGAGACACAGTTAAGGGATGCCTTGTGTCGGCTTGGGAATTGCATGGTAAGTAAGTCATGCTTTCATTAAGCGGAAAAGAAATACATGCTCATTAATCCACATTGGACAGCTGATTTTCAATCACTTTGTCAATCAAAAAACATTTAAAATGTCATTCCTGTCTTATTTTGGCAGATGTTTCAAACCTGATGACTCACAAAACTGATGTTTCCCGGAAGTAATGTCTTTTGCGGAACATAACATTCAAGATGGAATTTTAAGGACAGATTAGAAAAAAAGAATGGGTGTTTTTCACAGAAGACATTTTGACATGTCACAGCAGGAAAAGCAGAAGTGTAAGTAATAAAATGAATGATGGCTGTATTCCATTTAGCTGCTTCTTCAGGGTCCTGGTTGTGTTCATGCTGCCTCACGGTCACACTGTCATGGCTCACTGGTACACTTGAACACCTGTACTTTTCATAGTATGACAAGTCAAAATGTCTGCTTTACAAAAATGTCTATATATCTAGAGAACTTTCTTTTACAAAGTCAGGCACACAAAAGCCAGAGAACACATTTTGAAAGAAATTTGCAAGTGTATTGTATTTGCAGTTTCGAAATTTCTTATTTCAGTGTACAGCTATGACGAGTTTTCATTGAAAAAAGCAAATAACTATGTAGTCAATTACCCCTCTGGCATCTAGTCAATCAGGTAGCTTTGGCTTTAAACTCATAAAAAGTAACATCTTTCCTTATGTTTGTTTGTTTCACAAATCATCAATTTTGCTGCAGTTCTGTTCATATTTTTTAAATTCCATGTTTGATTCAGATTACAAAGACTTAAAGCTATAAAGTATTTACACCAGAACACCACCAGTCCAGCATGCATAGAAATTTATATATTCACTGGCTTCACAAACACGTGCTATTAACGTCTTTGCTTGACATGGTTGTGAAATTCTACAATATAAACAACAGCATATTACAGCTTGATAAACTCTTGACTACTTTAGATGATCTATTACACGTTTACATCACATTTTGTCTTAAAAACAGTTAACATTAATGCAACAGCTGTCATTGCAGTAAAAAAGGCAAGGTCAGACCTCATCACAGACACAAACTGCTGCACACATTGCACTTGACCCATGCAGTCAGTAATACCATATTTGATCCCTCAGTCCAGATACTTTTCACACCGGTAGCAACTTGTTAAATCACCCACGGGAAGAAGCCCTTTGTTGGTCATAACACATGTAATCATGACATCAGGCTTGAATTCATTTATATTACCGGTAGTTTTACACTTTAAATTTCAGCGCCACCGATACAGGTCCCCTGTGTTTCTTCCTCACGATACGTCTTGTTTGCGGAGAACAAGTGGAGAGATCCTATTTCTATTAAATGTCTTTGGTGAGAAAATGTCTTCAGGTCATCATTTCAGCCTTCAATTGACTTTGCTTCTGTCTACACACACTATGCTTTGCAACTTTCTTTGGATCCCCATTAAGGTGCCATCTGTGAAAATAATGGAGACACAAAATGAGTTACAAGGGAAACACAAAGTAAATTTAAATAGGTAATGGTAAGGAGGTAATGTTAATGTCTTCATACCTCAAATCGGCTGTAAACTTTCCTCTCCTTCCTCATGCTCTGAATCCGCTCCAGCAGCTTGTCACGCTCCTCACTTGTCTTAGGCTGCCCTCTGTTAAGTGACCTGATCCCTCTTTCTTTCTCCCTTTTGGCATTTTTGTCAGCTTCGTCTTCTTTCTCGTCATCGGTGACAGGAGACTCTTTAGCAGCTTCGATCCGGCTTTGGCTATTAGCAGAAATTTGCTCCAAAAGCAGCTTTGTATCATCTCTGAGGTTGCTGCTTGACAGCACGTTGGCTGTTGATGATTGGTAGCGAGACTGACTTGATTTTGGCTGCTTGGACTGTGGTGATGCAGGAACAACTTCATCTGATGTGATCTCTGGCGGTTTGGAGCAGTTATTTTGCCCTACTTTTTCAGTTGTTTCCTCATTGCAGACGGACTCCTGTGTAGTAGTTTTATTTACCATATTTGTGGCCTCTGTATCACCAGTTTTTATCTCATCAGGGTCAGGCTTTTCAGGCTCTTTGTTCACTTCTTGTTCATTCTGTCTGTCCAGATGAGTATTTTCAGCAGATACAGGTGACTTTGAAGGGTGGGGTTCAAAAGTCACAGATTCAGGTGTTTTGCTAGGCATAGGGGGCTCTGTTGGGACTTTTGAGGTCAGCTCAGTTGGGCTAGACGTTTCTGTTGATGGAAGCATTGGAGTTTCAGTTGAGTCTGTTGCAACCTGCTTGGGAAGACTTTCAGTATCTGAGGTGCTGTGCAATGCAGTCAATGTTTTTTCAGTCTCAGGGGACAAAACTGATCCAACTGACTCTGTTAGAGGAGAAGAACATGATACGGTTTCAATAGGAGTGGGAGAGACAGATCCTGTCAGGTTAAGTTTGGAGGGAGGGTTCGCTTGTCTTTTTGACTGGGAAGCATTAGGAGTAAAGTCCGGGAGGACAGGAGAGCTTGTTTTTGCTGCACTATGCTTGGGTGGAATGTCTGCTGGGGAGGGGGTCGAAGTAATAGTCTCATTTTGAGCAGATATGGATTTACTTTCCAGCTCAGCTGCATCATGTAAACATGATTCAGCCAAGGAAGGGCTAAGGCTAGAAGGTGTGCTACTAGCTTTCGCATTCTTTGATGATCCAAGATCCTGAGATTCCTCTCCAACACCATTTGGAGCAGAGCCGTTTTCTGATTCAGGAGCATCTTTTTTTGAAGGTGTAGGACCACAAGATTGTTCGGAGTCTGTCTTTTCACTGGACTGTGATGAGGAGGGTGAAGGACTTGGATTGATCTGTGAACCAGAATCTGGCACAATGTTATTAGCGGAACAGCTTTGGCCTGATGGGTTAGAAGAGCTGAATTCTGATTCAGTGTCTTGTTCAGGTAGCAGAGGAGGAGAGGAGATGCTGGTTTCTAACTGAACTGATTCAGAATTTGGGGTGTTAGAATACAACGCAGCAAATCCAGAGGATGACGGTTCCTCCACTGAACTGGGAGTTAGTGAACCAGACTTCTTTGAGGTACAATCAAGGCTTGGGCTTTCATTTTCATCAGTACCTTGTGCAAGAGAAGGAACACTAGCAGGAGTAGCGATTGGTGGTGTGTTGTGTATGTGTGGTGGTGTAGGTGGAGGACTGGGGTTACTCTGTTTTACAGCAGGATTTGACAGCTTTGGCTCTTCCGGTGGTTTGCTCTGAGTTGCTTCCGTTTGTGCAGAAACAGGCAGAGTTTCTGCTGATGGACTGTTCTTCAGCTCTATCTTCTCTGTATGAGTTGAAACTCTGGTTTGTTGTTGTTTACAGCTTTGGGATGTATTGGGATCAGTCTTGACCAGACTGTTCTGCTTGTTAGCTTTATCACTGGCATCTAAAGATGGACTAACTGACTTGTATGGCTCTGTGGATGCTGTTTTCCCTGAGTCCTCTGCTGTAGCATTTTTAACTAATAAACCCTCAGATGTTGAAGTGTCAGTCATCTTTTCAGAGGTGTCTTTTAGTACAGGCTCCTCCTTTATAACAGCAGTATTGCTTTTTAGTTCAGTTGGTGGTCTCATCGGAGCCTCCTCTTTGCTTTTTTCAGCTTCTGCAGCCTTAGCGGCTTTGCGTTTTGCTGCCAACTCTTTGAAAAACAGGAGCCTTTCATCAGGATCACTCATATCTACATGTAAGGGAGTGGTGAGCAAAGATGTGGGTGGCTGTTCTGGCTGAACAGTGCTGGGCAACTTGGCTTCAAACTCCTTGGATCGGGGCATGCATGGTGAAGAAGTTGCTTGCTCTTCAGCTTTGACACCAAAGGACTTTTTGTCCTTTGGTGAATCTTCATCATCATGTTTACTGTTTCCATCATCTGGTTTGGATGGGTCTGTGGCAGAGTTATCAAAAGAGGCTGACTTCATGTAACGGCTCCATTCAAAAGGTTCTCTTGCTGAAGACCTCCATTGTCCTATACCCTGAGAAACAAAAGGTAGTTTTGTCTGTTCTGCCTCATTTTGGTCACTTTGATCATCCTTTTGGTCGAGAGCAGTTTTGGTATCTTGAGAAGTATGCTGCTTTTCCAGTGAGCTGAATATCAGAGAGGATCTTAACCTAGAGGTCCTTGGTACAGCTGCATTGTATATCCTACGGAACGATTCCTCCCTTCGAAGACCAGCAGTTTTGGGTTCCTTTTGTTCTGCCTCTATCTTTTCCACTTCGGTTGTGGATGATGATTCTGAAGGTGTTGGTGTTGTTTTGGTTTCTGTTGATACTGCAGTAGGTTCCTCAAGGAATTTCTTTGGCGGTTCTCGTGCATTGGTTTTGGCATAACTTGGCATTTGACTTGCCCTGGGTATTGCAGGAACCCTAAACTCCCTCACATTAGGGATTTTAGGGACTGATACATGTATGCCTGGTGTTTGCTGTATGGGGTTAGAGGGCTCTTCAAAAGTATCTGGTGCATCAAGTGGTGTCGATGGCAGGCCTTCATCTTCTGCATTATCATATGCACTGAGATATGAGCTAAGCCTCCAGTTTCTTAGCCCCCGTTTCACCGTAGGATCCTTGCGGTCAACGTCAGGCTGCTGGAAAAACTGCTTTTGATCAGTTACATCTGAGGGGGCGGGAGATGTTTGACAAGCATTTGGCTGGCCTAAATTCATTCTTCTAGGGTGAGATGACCCATATGGTAAATTTGATGCAGGTAGTAATTTCTCTGAGCCCTGGTCAAAGTCTGCATGTCTGGTAGATGGTAAATAGCTAAGCACAGGGTCAAAGTTATCAAGTGGTTCCATTTCTTGTGGTAAACCAGGTTCAGAGTACTGATCTGCTGAATAAAAGTCTTGGTTCCAGAACTTGTCATAGCCGCTGGAATCTGCTTCTTTTCCTGGACCTGGTCCAGGCTGCTGCCCCCTCTGGGACTGCCTTCCCTGGTTCTCAGGCTCTGGCCTTCCCTGCTGCAAGAACGGATAAGAGGATCTACCATGAGCGTCTTCAGCATAACTGTGACGTTTGAAGGCAAGGTTTTCCATCATAGGCATCTTCGAGGGACCCTGATCAAAAGACGGATCCATGCGAGATTGCTGGGATGTAAATCTACTGTACAGATCTGCAGGGCCGTGCGTGGACTCCGGCTTTTTAAGGGGCATCATTCTCCAAATGTCCCCGCGTTTATCATTGGAATGTCTCGTCCATTCCTCTGGATGAGCGGTGTCCATTGACTGAAATTTCTTTGGCTCTCGATACAGTGTTCTATCACCTGGATATTGCCTCTTTTTTGAAAGGCTAAACTCTTCCATTGGAGTGAAATCTTCAATCATCAGCGGATCGGACTGAGCGAACAGAATCCGAAACTCTTCATCAAAGGTAGATACAAGCTGTCCAAGGAAAAGGTGTGCCATACAGCGGTGGAGCTTCTCAAAAGACCACATGAAGCTGGACAAAGACATGACAATAATTAAGAATGAATAGAAGCACTTAATTCATGGCATACTTGTGTCTGTTTTTTTTATGCAAACAGATACAAACTAAATATTCATAAATTCACAAAGTGTGGAGGTATTTTTTGGCTTTCTATGGCAACATTAAATGTGTTCACCTGTAGTTCCCACTCAACACAGCCCTGCAGTCTGTCAACAGGAAGCGATCCATCATCTGACCTTTGAAGGATTTCCCTGAGCAACACTGATACGTGATGCCGGACACTGTTCTCACGCGTAAAAGCTGAAAGACAAGCAACAAATCACCCACAAATTAAAATGAATTAAATCAATGTTTTAATTGCAATCCAAGCTAAGTGTTGGTATTGCGCGAGCAAAAACCCTACCAAAACAGAGCATAGAAATAGATAGAAAAGATACCTTTCTATATGCAGTTACTATGATTTCTATCAATAGGAATTTCTATCTTTAACGTTATATCAATGAAATGACATATTATGTTAATTAACATCAATATGATAAAAACAAACAGGTAATATACAGCATGTAAATGATTAACAAGGAAAAACCACACACAAGGACAAAGCAAGATGAAGAAGTTTTAAAATATCTCGAGGACTGTTGTTTGCTAAAAAGCTTCCCAATAATAGTATATGCAGTTCACTCAAGTCAGTTAGGAGTGCAAGCCAGCCATATAATGTTCGGAAAGAAAATGACTGATAACTTTTCATCGTTTGTTTGATGGAGTTGCCCCTAGCAACAGCTGCACTGTACCTAACTGTACTTCTGCTTTTCTTCACAAGTTTGGTTAATAAGGACAGAGTGAGACTGTTAAAGGATAAGTCTGGCGATATTCTATACTTTTGCCAACTAATCCCATGACTCAAATCTTTGTGACTTCCCTATTCTGTCTTTGGCTCTCAGCCCCTAAGCCCATACATTCCTACTGAAGAGGTAAATCTTTAAAAGAAGGTCATAAATAAAGACAGGATATAGCTTGGCACTGTAGTTTTTAGCAAATGTTAATCAATCAGGAGTGCATTCGTTGTGGACTATTTTCAGCTGCGGACTATTACACAGTGAGTATTCACAGCAGCAAGACAGTGACTCAAAGTAACCTACGTGGTTATGTTAATCGGATAAAAAGAGAACATGACGCACAGTGAAACATTGTGCCTCAATATTACGTTTTCAATCGTTTTTCGAGCTCAATATCACAGAGGAATAAGCTTTAGATACACAGACAGTACTGTTTGTCGGATGAACTCATTGGTGTTTTTGGTCGTTTAACTAGATGTGTTGACAATAAGAGAATACAGAATATCACCAGACTTAACCTTTAAGAATTCAAAAGAAATGCTATAACATTGCATCAGCAGGTTTTCCAGCTTTTAATGTAAGCAGCCTTATCTGTTGTATAGATTTTTCTGAGGAATATGTACTCACTTGAATGTTCTGTAGATTGACTCTGCAGTTGGACACCATGTGGACGAAGTGATGTGCGTTCTGCTTGTCTAAAATGACGTAGACGGCAACATTCCTCATGGCAGCATCGAGAATATCAGCAAACACGTCAACGTCAGTAAACATGTCCATCACTATAGCAATCACCTGAAGAGACAAAAGCCACAAACAACACCAAATTTTAAATTGCACTGTCAGGAGAATGACACTTCTTTACTAGTTTAGCATGAGGTCTCCCTCTGTCAAGAAAGTGAAAGATCTACCTGCTGTGCATTCTTGATAAGTCGTCGGGCCTGCTCCTTAATACTCGGCATTTCAGGCTCAGGGGGGTTGACCAGAGTTGTGACCTCTGTCGGCCCAATGAAGGGGTGCTGCTGAGGCCAGCCGAGGTCCAAGCCCGGGGCGTCCTGGTCAGAGTGCATCGGCCAGTAAGTGTCTGAGGAGTTATCTCCTCCGAGCTCCGGAAACTGTTGCTCAGGGTTGTAGCTCTGCTGAGGGACCTGAACCGAGCTCTGAATAAACTCAATTTCAGGTGAGGACAGGAAGTCCACCACATCTGCATTTTGGAGGAACTGATAGTATCCCTCCAAGTCCTCCTCAATCAGTGCGTCAATAGCCACGCGGTACTCTTCCCGATAATGAGGGGGGAGGTAGTTGGGGTCCAAGGGGTTATCCCCAGCAGAGGAACACTGAGAGCGATGTGCCATTCTGTAGTCTAAAGAGAGGGCGATGGCAAAAGTAGTCATGTGATGAATAGTGTGAATCATCCTTTCCCCAGCTAGATCATTCTGAATGATCACTTACTTAGAGCTAAAACAATTGATTCAAAATGAACACTTTTCATAATTAGTTAACTGTTACGAAACACTTTTCAACAATCCCCAGATTTCTCTGGTTCCAGCTTCTCAAATGTGAATATTATTTTGTTTGTCCTTTTTGATAGTAAATTGAACACCTTTAGTTTTGGGACAGTTTATTGATCTTTTTTTTTTTTAACCAAACAATCACCTGATGAGAAAATAATCATCAACTGGAGCCTATCAATTTAGATCATTGTTTATCATCTTTCAGATAAATCATGTTACGAGATTGATCACATCCTGTTGTCATTTTACATAACTATAAACTCCATGTGACTGAATACTGCTGCTTTTGTTTTACATGTTGAAGTTGAAGTCTCAGAGCACAATAATGGTTCATTGGATTGTGCATCATTTTGACTTCTTCATATGTGGACTGATTTTTCCAGTCCAACCATGCCACCCAGCCCTACGGCTAGCTCTAGCACACTAATCTTAGATTTGCGTCTGTAAACCTGTACAAGCCACAGCACAATGAATGAGGGCAGAAGGAATCCAACCACAGGATAGATTAAGGTTATAGGGTGTGGCTCCTCCTTCTGGACAAATGCACGGCAAAGTCTCCATTTGCAAGTTCATGTAAAGTCACCTAAATGAAGTGCCGACAAAACAAAACAAACAAACAAACAAACAAATCTAAACACGACTGACATGACGGAATAAAGTTAATACATTTGACCCATTAAACGGCTTTCAGTCACTTTAAGTGTTGAAAGTCCTCTTCAGAATATATTTACGAACGTTTTCCGCCCACTGAGACCGATATGGCATATCAGAGAAACTTCAGCAAAGCCAGGTAGCACTGCAGAACAATATGCGATAACAAAACGTTGACGTCAACATGGTAAACTCCCGAGTAATACAGGCCACGACGGCATGAACTTACCTCACTGCTATTTACTCGTCACTCTTCATGTCGGTTAAACTTTAAACCCGTCATCTGCTCTTCGTCGCCTTGTTTTCCGAAACAAACTGCGACCTGCTTCTAGTCCAGGAGTCGAAACTTTTCTGTTTCATTACTTTTCCTCCCGGTCACCCAGCTCAACCAGTTTATTGTCACGCTTGAGGCATGTTTGCGAAGATGTTTGAGGCAGCACTCAGAGGAGCAAGACTTGCTGTCGACAAAGTTTCGCCCCGCCTCGACTTCAGCTCCACACAGACTGTTCCCTGCACGGCTCTGCTGCGTCCATGCTTGTCCTGAAGCAGCTCAACTCTGCCCATATGTGGACTCTGCACGTCTGTTATCTGGCGAGAGCCGAGTAACTACTGCTGCTATCAACTGTGGCGATACTAATTAACGTTGTATATCAGGCAATGGTTGGCCGTTCCATAAACCCCCTATTACACATTGTTTAAAGCATTTATCATAACTCATTGACATATTACTCTACATGCAGACAGTCTGGCTTGTTGCCGCCCTCCTTAAAATGATGTGTCACCCAGCTACATTTTGTAAAAGTCAATATGGTTTCATTCTTTCAAATTAAATAAAAGTTTAGACGGATATGAGTATAGAGCTTCACTGTCATAAGAGGTGACCAAAAGGGTACCACTTTCTAATGGGGCACCCTGTAAAAGGTTATAATAGCTGTAACTAATGTCTTAATTAATGGTTCATAAATAATTTCCTAATGTTTTTTAGATCAATTATTATCTATTAATGAGTCAAACTTGGGTTACCAGGTTATGAAAAATCATTATTAAAGCCAATACTAGATTACCAACAGGCTATAGGGCGCTATTGTCCCGGGGCCCCCAGATCCTGAAGGGGGCCCAAAGCCTCCACGTTATATGGCAAAAACGTTGCGGTAGTTTGACTAAGTGCAAATGTGTGTGATAATATACTACATTACATTACAGTCATTTAGCAGACGCTTTTATCCAAAGCGACTTACAATAAGTGTATTCAACATCGGTTTCCGAGAGAACTACTAGTCTACTACTACTAAAACACAGTGTAAACTAAAATAAGGTGACTAATCCCTTCTTGTAGAGAGTTTTAAAGCCTTTATAATTCCAGTTTATATTTTGCTTACATGGTGCATATTCCTAAAGATAATTTTGCTTAGTCAAATCACCAGAAGATAATTACTAAACTTTGCATATGGAAAAAAAAAAAACTGGGTCGTCAGTAGGGGCCCACGGTTGATTGCTTAATCAGTGCTGCTTAAATGTTGACTTATCGGATAGTATTTTGAAAAAGGGTGGCAGCTAATTATAAGCAGTAAGAAAGTACACCTTATGATAATTAGATTTTGTGAAGGAAGAAATATATCAATAGATAATTAGAATAGAATCATTAGGCTATAATAGACATCATTATTGTTGCACTGGAGATGTCAATGTAACTGGAGTTACTGGAAACAGTGAAAAACAGGTTACACTGTATGAGTCTCTGAATTTTTGCCAATTTATTACTCAGCCGATGACAGCATAGGGCCCATAGACCCTGTGCCATCTACTTATCATTGCATGGGGCCATGGCTAACCAAAACCTGATCAGATCGTCAAAAATAACAAAAACGAATAAGATGCCCAGAAGTGGCTAAGTAACAGCCACATAGTCCTCTGTGAGGCTTAAATGCCTGGAGGGTAACAAAGAAAACCTTCTAATGTATTAACCTTTGACAATTTAATGTAATGAGGAAATCAACAAACAATTGAGGTACTGGGTGAGGATGATTATTATAAAGACTGCATTGCCATCCTTTGATGAAGGTGCGGTCTGGTAACACAAACAGAAGAGAGGAGCAGCACAAGGTGGCCAGGACAAAGCATCCAAGTCCGCCAACATTCATTCTTTTGTTGCTTTGCATGGTTCGTTAACAATCCCCCTTCCCCTATACTAGCAATACTGTCCACAGACTGAAATGACATTACCTCACCAGACAGGCTGTGATGTAAATCTCCTGTGGTTTAGTGACTGTGCTTTGAATTTGGAGGAAGGCCGTCAGCATCTCCAGGATAGGACGTTGTAGCACATGTTTTGTTAAACCCTGAAAGGAGAGAAAGACAGACCAAATACAGTGATTTTCCTTTAATGGTTGCTTCGCTCTAGGACTTAAAATAGCCTCGGCAGCATGAAATCTGATGACTGAAGTAACGGAAGTGATGCAACGTGACTGATCAAGTGATGACTTGAAGACAGTCCCTCATTGTTTCCTTTGGGCACCACCCAAGACACACAGAGGAGCAGTTGTAATAGAAACTTCGAAAATGAATGTTCAATGATAGATAGTTGCAACACTACATACCTCTGCACTCCTAAAAAACTTTGAAAAATGTCGTGACTTGTTGGTTTTGTGTCTGACAGGTTGTAACACATGGACTTGGCCATTCACTGAACTTTGGCTGAATCCCTCCCCCTTCATTAAACACCTCCAGCAATGTATGAATCAAACACACAAAGTGTAACTGCTTTGATTTATGTGATAACACAATCTCCATCGAAGTGAACCGATTATTGCTGAAGGTGAATAAAGACGCAGTATCCTTTCTGGTAGAAACACAACAGAGTAGATTCGATTATTAGCTACTGATAACCGTGTCCTCATGGAGGCCTTCCGGAATAAGACTTGTTTACTCAAAGTATTAAGAGATACAGTTCATAACGTGTAAGCCTTTTGGGCAAAGTCTTATACACATGGGGTTAGTTTACAGTGTAAACAGTACATGTTATCCAACTGAAGGCTGAGCTTCCATTATGCCACATGCACTGTAGAAAAAGGCTACGACCCTGCTGCAGATGTGACAGATGCCAACCTTCCAGTGTGCCATGTCTGAAAAGCAAAACAGAACTATGAAACTCCCATGTAGCTGCTGTAAAGAGGTCAGTGGTAGATAGCACACTGTTCAGGTGAATGAACGGTAATGTTTGATTTTCAGCATGAGAGCAAACACAAGGATAACCGTATGACGTCTAAGCGATAGCTCACCACATAATGCTTTGATGGTGAACACTAAATGCATAACTTTAGTTGGAGGGTGGGGTTGAACAGGTGACAGCAAGTCTGTTTTTAATGTGGGCAAAAAAGGAAGAAGAAAACAAAGTTTAGTTTGTTTAGCCCTGCTAGCTGCATGGCTCTAGGGGGTAGAAAAAAGAAATTTCAGTTGGTTGGTCTTTGGTTCGGACTGAACATTATTAACAATGTGGTTTTGAAATTAAATGTCTCAACAAGTGGATTGATCGCCATTAAATTTGGTATCCACATTCATGTCCCCCTCAGGAGGAATTATAACAAAATCTTTGTGAACATATTAGCATGCTGATGTTAGCATTTAGCACAGCAGAGCGGACTCTATCTACAGATTATCAATGTGCAAATTGTAAACATATAATTGTTTGTATCTTTGGTCAGTATAACCACTGGAACAGCTGCTGTTAAAGTACTTTTATTCTGCAGTACCACCGCTTTTCTTTTGTTTACCTTCGGAAAGTACATGTTCATCTTTTGTTTAGACGATGTCTCAACGCTTCTGTCATTCTGATAGGGACAGAGCAGGAGGAGGAAGATTGTCACAGGAGAAGGAAGGGGATGGGAAAACAAAGGGAAAAGGACAAGCAGCAGCTGCAAAAGCCATTTGCATCATTTGATGGAGCGAACAGGAAGTCTTGGCAGTTCGCAAAGAGGTGAGATAATGCTTGCCTACAAGGTTGATGAAGGCGGAATTAAAGGGTCGCTACACCACGACTGGACTATTACTCGTAGATGGTGACTGGCCATGACACACTGTCCGTAAACACACAATCTACCAGCGATTCGGTTGAGATTATAAAATTCTTCGACATGATTTTAAAAAGTAGAGGAGAACTCATCTAATTTGATTCTAGATTAGTTATCAATGTGTGAGGAACCACATTTATCTTTTGAGGAAAATCGGGCTGCTCTATATTTGTCACTTGGAGAGGCCATAACAAATTCCACAGGTGATTATATTCCCATGTTTTGTGTCGCTACGAGATACTGACAGACCCCGTGTCATCGGGTCTGATGGCAGTGATCACTCCGCACAGCTTTGTCAAAGGATGGTGGGGGTGTCGAGCCAGGCGACACAAACACACAGGTGAGACAAAACCACAGCAGTAGCGACAACAGGCTCTTGTCAGTGTGGAATGTATAGACACACAGCACCATGGAGTTGTGGAATGGTTCCAGGTCCTGTGGAAACTAAAGTTGCATTTTGGGTGAGTTTTAAGCTGTATTTGGAGGCCGTGTTGGGGCAACTGGGTGCTGACATCGTTTCACACAATGTGCCAACTGCTGAGCAGCACGTGTACATTTGCATCTGATTTTGTATGCATGCGTTCATGCATGTGTGCACCTGTAATCACAGCAGCGTGCGCGCTTGTGTGTGCCTGTCATTGTGTATGGCAGGTTGCTACAGGAGTGGCAGTCGCTGCACTTTGAAAAAGTTGCCATCCAAGTTTCAGTGAGAGGAGCCAGAGAAATGCTACAAGGGGAGTAGGTGCAAAAGAAACATGAGGCCTTTACTGACTTGTGAGACACGCAAACAGTTCTGACCCCACCCAGACTCTTAGTAGTTAAAAACATTGTTTACAGTTTCATCCTTTCAAAGAGTACATTTACACAGATGGAGAATAGTTACCTACAATGATGTCATAATGGCTGCCAAACAATAGAAAAGAAGTAGAACAGGGAACAGCAACTTTTACTTACATTTTGCAGTGTTGCCTTCCTCCAATCATCTTTTTTTTATTTGCATAATTTCTTTCCAGTTCTATTGTATTGTATCCTGTGTCACATCCTGCTGCTACAGCACATACTGGAATGTCCTGCATTGACTCAGGGACACATGTCTCAGGATAGACATCACCTGCTGCTGAACTACTAAACCGTGCCAAGTTAGCTGTCATGGCTGCCTGGTATATGCTTATACGTTTGTATAAAATGTGGTACAGTTTCCCCTGTTCATGTGCTGCCCTGAAATATGGTAGGATTATTAGGATCACAAAGGATAACAGGTCAGAATTATGATGTTACTGCATGAGAGAGTGAGCTTAGTCTGTTTCTCACGCTGAATTTCAAACTTTTAAATAAGCTGTAGATATACTTGTCTGGTGGAGTCTTGTAACAAGGCTCCAACACCTCTCTGCTCCGTGGGGCCTGAAAAAGTGGCAGCAGCTTTCAAAGGGGCACACAGATAATGATGACAGCACCTTCACTTTTTACCCTCACAATCTCCATCCCTACAAAACTTTGCAATGTATAAAGGGGGACTAGGTAATCAAATTAAATACAATTCCAATGGTTTTATCAAATACACACAATAAATATATATTATTTTCTGTTTTATTCTTAAATATAGACTGGTAGAAACTGAACCAAGATATTTTTTTTCACCACCTGCCCTTTGTTTATTTGTTTTCTTCATACAGGTATTTATGTGTTCAGGTTGGACTGCATTGAGAAGATCTCCCTGATCATGAAATGCAAACAGCGCCACTCCCCGGACAGCCTACTCACAGCATTTCATTCTGTTGAGGTCATCCTCCCTGAGGCCAACGTTTAGCAGCCTAGCAACATAGTTTAGGCAGCTATTGTAACAATCACAGAGGCTAAGAAGAGCTTCGATTAGTTTTTATTAAAAAAAAAAAAGTGGTCCGGCCAACTATGTGCACAGTTGAAGATTGAAGATTACAGCGAGTAAGGAAAGCAATGCAAAGACAATTAACTGTTTCACGAAACATATCTGGAGTTTTTCATGTTTTTCAACTTTTTTAAAACAGTTCTGCCATGTTAGGCAATTCAATTTTGTAAGCATTTTTTTCTGCCCATGCTAAAGATAATAAACAATGGGAATTACCATAATGGGTTACATTTTCTGGTGGGAGTGAATCCACTTTACCTACAAACAATTTGGTTAGAATGTTGTACATGCTGTGTAGAGTAATATACCTGGAATCCAGACGTTTCATTGTGATGTTTTATACTAAATTCCTCAATAGTTCACAATTGAAAGATACAGTAAAACATTAACAATACCTGGACAAAAAAAAATGACTCACATTTTAACTGTACACACACACACACACACACACACACACACACACACACACACACACACGTTTGTACCTTTGTAGACCTTTGTAGATTAGATATTACAAGCTCATGATTATAAGATAAGATAAGATAGACTTTATTGTCCCGAAGGAAATTTGTCTTGGAAACATACATACAGTGTCTGCTGTTAAAACAATACAAATAACATATTGCATACATACATTACATACACAGACTGTCGCCAGTCCACATACCGCACACACAGTACCTACAGTACATGCAAAAGACTGCCACCAGCCAACAAATATATAATATTTTGGTATTTTTATACTGTGCCAGTGCAAAACATGCCTGTTCAGAATGGGCTACATGCTTGGAATGTGGTGCGGCAGCTTGCAGCTTTCTCGAAACACTGGTGTAAACGGCCTCTAGCCCTTGTGTTGTCCTGGGGTCATTTTTGACCCCAGGATAGCACAAAATGTTCTAAATAAATGAGACATCATATTTTTGGTTTAATATTGAATGACTTTTCCTAATTTAGTGGGGACAACTGGGTAAACACAAACTCAACATGTTGATATGTAAAGTTTTATGTAAAGCCATTAAAACACCCAAAAAATATCTCTTTCCAATTTTAGGTCAATCAGTGAGATTTTATGGTGATCTGCATATTTCTCCATAGTCCCGTAACAGGGATTCTGGATGTATACGGGTTTGGGTGTCGGGGGGGTTGTTTTATTTAAAGGGCTATTTAGGTAGTCAACAAAAAACTAAGTACCTGACACATAAACTTGTGTAGCAATTTTAATTACAATAATGCTCTGCAGGTTCAAATTGCTGGGGTCAAAAATGACCCCAGGATAACAGGTGTTAGTAAATTTGAAGGTAACAGGAGGGTTAAATGTTGCAGAAATGAATGTTGACATGTTTTACATGTCAGGTAATGACTTGGAATAAAGTTGACTAAGGAGTTGAAACACAGAGGTGGGTGATAATTTATACCGTATGCTTTATAAACAGTCAAACCTGACGGGGTCATTTTTGACCCCAGAGGACAACAGGTGTGATTATGTGCTGCCATTAGAAAAATTCAAATGATTCAAGAACAGCATCCTCACTAAACTTTGACATGTACCTCTCTGTGATCAGTCAAATAGTAAAAAATAATATGAAGTCAAAATAATTCATTGTTTCATTGTATTTTCACTCAAAAACAGGGTATACTTTTATGTAAACAAGGTCTATTGGCCCTAAATTCCAAAATGAAGGGAACGATTTGTGGTAATGTGTTGGACTGAAGTAAGACTAAAGGTGTAAAACAGAATTGATTGACAATTTATACTGTATGCTTTAAAAACAGTCAAACCAGGTGGGGTCATTTTTGACCCCAGAGGACAACAGGTGTATGGCAGTCGGGAGGACAACACAAGGGCTAGTCTAGTTCTCGGGGAAAAAAACATCAGACGTTACCGTTCGGCAAGATAGGCAACCTGGGCCTGGGGCCCCAACTAAAAGGGCCCCAAACAGCTATAGATTATGATGTTTAGATATGAAAAGTATTGAATTATGTTACTATTCAAACTCATTGTACCCAGAAATAACTTACAAAACACTTGAAAGTACTACTTAGCCTACTACTGTGTTCTTCTTCTTCAGAGGAAAACATTATAGTACTACATTTACCTGACAAATGATAAGTGTTACTGGTTATGTTGCAGATTTAGATTCTACTCACACAAACAATTAAATACATTATGATTCATTAAACTATCCAGCACCGTATTTGAATTGAAAGCTCCACCTTGAAGAGACGCACATTTAAGTACATTGTGCTGATAATGCCTCTTTCACTCTTCACAGGACTCTTACTGTGCGGTATTAATTGTTTTACTATAATAGTTAATAGTTCAACTTTAGGACGTTTTTGAGTATGTCTTCCACCACTGCCAATACCAACATTCCCAGTTGGACAAAAGCGTGAAAAGTAACGCAAAACAGCGTTTGCTTATAGATTATTGGGTAGAACTGGCCTTTTGTACTTTGATAAGATACTGTAAATGTGTCTCAAAGGAAAAGCATTACTATTCCATCATTGGGAGGCGCTGTGTATATTTCGAAGCTACAACGTTCCATCACTTTTACCAGAGAAGAAGAGTTTGAACGAATCACGTCCACTAGCAGGATGAGGCCCCGCCCCCAGGCTCTCTCCCCGCGCAGTGTCGTCAAAGATTGTGTATAATTGAGAAGATGAATCACTTGATCAAGAGAAAAGGGAAGCTGAAACAACATTGTTTTATCAACAGCCACGTATTACACAACATTTTAAACTCGTAATTTTGGCTTTTTTGCGAGGAAGGGATTATATATCTTTTTTTGACAAGTTATTGGTAAAGTTGAGGGAAGTTGAGTTGACTTTCACTGTACCCTGAGATTTTGAGGGAGAGTGAGAGTTCTACCCTTTTCCTCCTCTCTGATCCAATCCATGCTCTGTTTCTTGTACAAGCTGTGATGCTACATTAAAGCCTAAATATATACATTTTTAACCGTATTTAAGTGTATTCGCCGCTATTTTCTGCGGTTAAACTGCCCTGAATCTTAGTCAGCAGCACTGTAAACATGGCAGGAGTCATCCAGAGGCTCGACGAGACTGTTGTCAACCGGATTGCTGCAGGAGAGGTTATCCAGCGTCCTGCCAACGCCGTCAAAGAACTGATTGAAAACTGGTAACTGACTAGCTACATGGCACAGTTATGTTTCATAACGTGAGCTTAAGCTAGGTGTTTAACAAGTGGCTTAAATATCCTGCAGTGGGACCAATACAGGTGACAATATGGCACGACCGGTGTTTACAACACGTTTGTGGCAGAGCCGCTTATCAACAACACCTGTAACATAGTCTATGGTGACGTCATAGTCATGTGACACTGCGAACTGATGATTCAACTTGAAATGTAACAAGGCTGTATAGTAACTAACTTGTATCGTATGTTCCAGTTTGGATGCCAAGTCCACCAACATCCAGGTGACGGTGAAAGACGGCGGACTGAAGCTCCTCCAGATTCAGGACAACGGCACCGGCATCCGGGTGTGTGTGACAGGGGCAGCTGTGAAGGCCCACAGCTGTTTTGGATGGTTGGAAAAGTGTCCTTCAGATGGAAACTCATGCCATGCCATGACTTCCCTTTGTGATAACTATAGAGTTTAACCAAAAAGTTAAGACACAACAGAAAGGACCTTGTGCCCTCCCTAGTATCCAGTCTGGTCCTCTCCACCCCCATTAGTTCAGATTTAGTGGTTTGTTTTTGCACTGCCAAGAGAGTGTGTGTGCACACCACTGGTAGGTGGGTCTCTCTGTGCCACTGTCTTTTAACTACGCCGTCATTTTCTCTGATCAAGCCGTCTGTTCTATTTCCGAGGCAGAGAGAAGATATGGACATTGTCTGTGAGAGGTTTACCACCAGCAAACTCCAGACTTTTGAGGACCTCTCGGCTATTGCAACCTATGGATTCAGAGGAGAGGTAGAGCTCTGGAGCAGCAGCAGCAGCCTTCAGGTTATTACACGTTGACGTACATCTTGATGCGAGTACGTCACATCTGTTGCCTGTTCTTGTTTGCAGGCCCTTGCTAGTGTGAGCCACGTTGCCCATGTGACCATAACGACTAAAACAGCTGACGCCAAGTGCGCCCACAGGTATGCTAACATTTGAAATCATGCCTCACTCATCTACTGTCTCGCCTCCCTTGAAGATTACATGCACATTACAAGGGGTAGAAAGTAACCAGGCGATGTATCGATTGTCTGCAGAGCCAGCTACAGCGACAGCAAGCTGAAAGGTCCTCCCAAACCATGTGCCGGCAACCAGGGAACCCAGATTCTTGTGAGTTGTGGAGCACATCAACTTTTACTGACTGACGTTGATGGATGTTCAGAGACCTACAATAGTTTGCTCTCCCTGCCTGCAGGTGGAGGACCTCTTCTATAATGTGTCCACCAGGAGGAAAGCTTTAAAGAGCCCCAGTGATGAGTACTCCAGGATTCTAGATGTGGTCAGCAGGTCTGTGATCTTGGCTTCACTACGTGATTCCTGCCCTTTTGATGAATGCCACTGTGTTTGGATAACTCGCGTTTCCATGTTTATTTTGAAGGTACGCCATACACAATTCAGGAAAAAGTTTTTCTGTCAAAAAGGTGAGATGTGCTTTCTTGTAACGTTTCGTTGACCGTGATTGGCTCCACAACACCGGACACACAAAAAAAATCACCTCTGTATTATAGATGAGGGTGTGAAGAATTACTCTTTGCTTAAAAGGAGAATATTATTCATGGCCTTCTTTTTTCCAGCAAGGAGAGACTGTGGCAGATGTGAGGACTCTACCCAATGCATCTGTAGTAGATAATATTCGAGGAGTTTTTGGAAATGCAGTCAGCAGGTATTAAGCAACAAAGAGACAAAAAAAAAAAAAGATATGCTCTGATGCTCTCTGCAGTTCTGTGACCTCTTATCACCGAAACTCCGACTGCATCATCGGCTCTGTGGTATGTTCCCAGGGAGCTGATCCAAGTTGGCTGCGAGGATCAGAAGCTCGCTTACAAGATGAAGGGCTACATCTCCAACGCAAACTACTCGGTCAAGAAATGCATCCTGGTGCTCTTCATCAACCGTACGTATCACAGGAAAGTGAAAATGTGGCTCACTGGTGCAGATAGTTTAATCCTATTAGCGCTTTGTTGAATGGAGATTGTGATCTGTGATGTCTCAGATCGTCTGGTGGAGTCGAGTGCTTTGAAGAAAGCAATTGAGACAGTTTACGCTGCGTACCTTCCCAAGAACACGCACCCTTTTCTATACCTCAGGTAACTTAACGCGCATCTGTCTGTTTTCTACAACGCATTCTGTTACGGTCTACTTCATCTGATATCCACCGCTGCTTTCTAATCCCCACAGTTTGGAGATCGCTCCGCAGAATGTGGACGTCAATGTCCATCCCACAAAACACGAGGTGCATTTCTTGCACGAGGACAGCGTCATCGAGAGCGTTCAGAAGCACGTCGAGAGCAAACTCCTTGGCTCCAACTCCTCACGCATGTACTTCACTCAGGTATGTTGACGGCCGGATCACTATCTCTGCGAAGATGCTGGCATCGTCACCGCAGCGATAGATCTGACCTCTGTCTTTCGTGATGATAAAATATTTGCACTCCGCCCAGAGATCACCTGTCACTTTTACACTGTATCCATTTTTTTCCCCTTTTTAAAAAAACTTGAATTGTGACAGTGTCGAGATGATTCATACACTGCGTGTTCTTGTGCAGACGTTGCTGCCAGGGCTGTCGGTCTCAGGCGGCAGTGAGGTGAAGTCCCCCGGCGCCGCGGCAGAGTCTAGCGAGCGAGTCTACGCACATCAGATGGTGAGGACCGATTGTCGCGCGCAGAAGCTGGACGCCTTCCTCCAGCCGAAAGAGAAGCCGCCACCACCACCTGACCCCGAACCAGCCGGTCCCAGCAGCACGGGGGCTGCGACCAAAGCCGCCCGGCCCGACTGCGTGGAGATGGAGGTGGATGACGCAGAAATGCTGATGGCCCTCGCTGAGCAGGAAGCAGAGGGGTCAAAGGGCAACGAAGACGATGCTAACAGTGCTCAAAGGTGAAAAAAAGAATCCCGCCAGAGCTACATTGGGTGTGCCAGTATGTGTGTTCAGCAGAGGATGAAAGACTAAAGTCAGTGCCATCATGATTAATCCAGATCAGGACGGGACAAGTCTTGATGTGTGACTAATCCTGTAACATCAGCAAATCCGTACATTGACGTGCAGCAGAGGCGTTGAGTAAGAGGAAGAATGCAATAGTAAACATGTGTCATCGCTCATGAGTGACGTCATCTCCCTCTGGGCCAATCGGAAACGAAATATCAACTTGTTTTTACCTGTTGCTGACATTATAGCAGCTAATAGCTAGTAGCTGTTTTCAAAGCTTCACTAATAAGTATTTTATTTGTTACAATGATGAACCCTCTCAGAATGATCAAACCTCCACAGCTTTCTTTTAGCTTATTGTTTTAGTTTAGGGAATCAAATTAGTCTTCGAGTCCGACTATTCTCATTAATCCAGTTTTCTGCTAAAAGGTTTCGATAAATCCAGTGAACACCACCGGCTTAGGGGAAGAAAAGTCAAACATCCTGTCAAAGACTGAGATATTTCTCTCAGTAGTTGTTAGAAACCCAAAACTGGAAAACATTCATCAGAAGGCCACGACTCCAGATGAGTGTTAATGTTGCCCCGTCACTGCTGGATGTGTGATTTGGTAATTCTTTGCAGTCTCTCTACAACTTTAATAAAATGACCATATGGCAAGTTTATAGTCCTCAAATGTTAGATCTACTCTGCCCCCTTGTGGCTGAAAAAGTAACTCATGCCGCATACATTTTTCAGGTACTTGTTGCTTCTATTATGGCGAGGCAAAAAATATCTGCCGCCCATTAAGAGTGTGATTACATGCGTACACATTTTCACAGCCCGTTACGGGTTATAGTGTGTCCACTGTCAGCTTGTGTGACTTACTGTCTGGAGAGTACAGGTGACTGTAAACATGCAGGGTGCACTTTACGCTGGAGGTGTGTGTGTGTGTGTGTGTGTGTGTGTGTGTGTGTGTGTGTGTGTGTGTGTGTGTGTGTGTGTTTGACCCAGGAAGCGACCCAGAAAAGAGCAGCAGCAGCCGGAGGAAGAAGTAGACGAGGACCTGACGGCTGCAACTGTGCCCAAGAGACGAGTCATCAAACTGAACAGCGTTAAAGAGCTCAGAGCTGAGACCACTGAGAACACACACAAAGGTAAACAAAACATGCATCATCATCTATTATAGCTAAACTGTTAAATCCGCCAACAAACCCCGTCTTCCCCTCTCGCAACTCTATACTTCCCTGTGATTGTACTCTCTTCTCCAGGCCACAACTCATCTCCACAACTACTTTTATGCAACTTCATGTTCATGCCTTATCTTTAAGCATAATCTACAACTCAAAATATATTAAATCTCACTTGCTTATGTACTTTTTTTTTTTTTTTTACTCCAGGGCTTCAAGAAATGCTGCAGAACCACTCGTTTGTGGGCTGCGTCAACCCACAGTGGACTCTGATCCAACATCACACCAAGCTGTACCTGCTCAACACCACCAAACTCAGGTCAGAGCCACAGGACACGCACACTGCTATGTTACGTTGTTTCAGACTGCTGCTCTATGTCCCACTTCACTCTCTTGTTTCTGCTGCAGCCAGGAGCTTTTCTACCAAATACTCATCTATGACTTTGGGAACTTCGGTATACTAAGACTGTCTGTGAGTTAAGTCCAGATTGTGAATGGTTTGTATGAACTGCACAGGTTGTGATTTTAAATGGCTGATCATGTGCATTCAGACACCAGCTCCACTTTATGACCTTGCTATGCTGGCTCTGGACTCTGAGGAGAGCGGCTGGACAGAAGAGGACGGTCCTAAAGAAGGCCTGGCTCAGTACATAGTGGACTTCCTGAAGAAGAAAACCGAGATGCTGGAGGACTATTTCTCCATCGAGATAGACCAGGTCAGTTGGGACATTGTGGCGTTTGTCTGGGGGGGGGAGAGAGAGAAAGAGTTGTTTTTACACATGCTGTAAACCTGAGCTTTGTGCATTGTAGGAAGGCAATCTAACAGGGCTGCCGTTACTGCTCGACAAGTACACGCCCCTCATGGAGGGCCTCCCCATGTTCATCTTGCGCCTGGCCACTGAGGTGAACCGCTCTCCTCATTTATTATGAGATTCTGTAAACAGACTATCTCAAGGCTTCTGCTTGCTGGTGTTGTGCAGGTGAACTGGGACAATGAAAAGGAGTGCTTCAGAGACTTGAGCAAGGAGTGCAGCATGTTCTACTCCATCAGGAAGCGCTACATCTTAGCGGCCCAGCCGGGAGAGGAGCAGGTGTGCAGGAACACCAGACTCACGTTTAAAACAATGCTAGAGCTAGACACATTTTAAACTTCCTTTACAATAACGACAAATAATTGAACTGACGTGATTCTTGTTTCAGGAAGCTGAGGTAAACTCGTGGCGTTGGAAAGTTGAGCACTTCATTTTCAAAGCTTTCCGAACCCTCTTGAGTCCTCCGAAGAACTTCAGTGAGGACGGCAGTGTGCTGCAGATCGCCAACTTACCCGATCTCTATAAAGTATTTGAGAGGTGCTAAATCTGATCACCAAATCAACCCTACATGCTGCTCTTTTTTTTTTTTTTTTTTTAATACTTGATTTGTTCTGTAAATAAAATATTTGTATGAGAAAAGGCTTCAGATGTTTGAGTGAAAAACAATATTCCTGTTCTGAATAACCTATTTAAATGTGCCAAGGCTACACATGGTTTTCTAAAAGTAAGAATTGAAACATGCTGCCAGGAAAAACAGAATTGTGTCACGAGTCCCCTTATGAAACCTAAAATGTGCCAACACACTTGCTTGACTTTTATTACAGCTACATGTTCCCCGTCCGTCTAAAACACGTGAGACGTTTGGAGGAAGCAGAGCTCTGTGAAGGAAATGAACACCGCCACGAATGTTTCCAAATACCTTCTGGACAATTACACTTGAAACACCTAAAAGCATGGAAAATGAAACAAACCTGCAAATGTATTTCCATGACTTATGCTATAGTAACAGTCTCTTTATTCCAGTCACATGGTCTGTAACTAAAACCAGAGTAAGAAAAAGAAGATTCAGATGGTACACACTTTTGTAAATTACACATTTATTTTCAAGAAATCTTTTAAATATTTGAAAAATTTCAATGAAACCGCAGCAGAAACAGTTTGTTTTACATATTTTTCAAATAATGACTGCACCTTTTTAAATACATCTTTCTGTACCAGTTAAAAACAATTCTTGTTTCATTGAGCGGCGCGAACCCCCGGTCTCCTAGTGTGAAAAGGCACTTCACTGTGAGGGGAAGCTGGGAAGGTGCAAGGCCGGAGCAGCCGTGAGGGTTGAATAGTTTAAAAAGCATCATTATACTCATTCATGCAACTTATCAAAAACAAAAAAACAGTACAGCCAAGCACCCAGCCAGAGAGATAAGACATCTCATGGATAACATGTAGTACAAAGCTCTGAAAAATTAAGTAGCGAGTAGAGAAATTTCCTCAGATCCATCTCCCAGCAACTTTATAGTTTTATTAGTTAAGTTTCTGAGTCATCCCTCCAAAAACACTACCAGACAAAACACACAGTTCAGTTTGTTGCCTGTGCTACAGTTGTTTTTTTTGTTTTTTTTTAAGTGTTTTTGGTTAGCTACAATTCTTAAAGTGTTAACCCTAAAAATGGAAATGTGCTCCAGACGCAATATGGCAGTCAGAGGTCTGAGGGGCGAGTTTAAGGGCTTCTGTGGTGACGCTGCCTTGCCTCACTGCTGTGACAGGAGGGCGTTCCTGTTGGCTTTCATCTTCTCAAGGCGTTTTACTAGATGGTTGTTGGTCATCTCCATCTCCTCGGTCTTATCTAGAGCTGTGCGCAGCTGTGGGGGGAAAAAAGAAAAAAAAAAGAAAGAAAAAAAAAAAGAAAAGGTTTATATTTAATCTTAATTTAGCCTGGAAAGACCCATTGAGATCGGGGGCTCAATTTTGATGGCGCTGTGGTTCTGACTCCCACAGGCAGCACCCTCTACTGGACACTATGGGTAACACATTCAATAAGTCTTATAAATTACAAAACAATATAAAAAACACCAACCATCAATAATACATTGTAACATATCAATAATAACCAAGGATGTTATGGTTTTACTATTTTGAGCATTCATAGATCTCAACATCAAATCAATTCAACAAATCTTTGAATTTGCCCAAAAAAAAAAAAAAAAAACAAGGGCCTTCAACTTGATGGTCTCTTGAAACTTACTCCAGCTTCTTGGTGCGCAATATTTAAAAGAAGTTTTTTCACAGTTCCGTTCTGACTTGAGGGACCTCAAGAGCTAAACAACCCTGACTTCTTGGTCTGGTAGCCATTAGAACACCATGTAATGAGGGATGAATAGATGAGGGTCCGGTAGGAAGCAGGAAGTAGTTTGAAGCACAATTAACTAGAGAGCCGAGTACCCGATCACGATAGAGACAGGTGGAGACATTAATTAGCAGGAAGCGAGAACCTTGATCTCTGGAGAGGATACCGTCACATGCAAGGGGGAAATGATGCCGACAGCAGGTCAGTAGTGTTTAGACATTTGTGAATGACTGAACCAGCGATGGAGTTATATTCAGCCTTCTTCATTTCAAGTTTTATATTATAAAGCACTAGTCGGTGTCTTTACCTCTCTTTGAAGTTTCCTTTTTTCTGCTTTAAGTTCGTCCTCTACTTTCTCCGAGTTGTCTGCTGATGACTTGTACCTGGACACTTGCCCTTCAAGTCTGTTAATCTGGAAAATGGAGACAAAACATACTTAACTTCTTCATATCTGTATTAGATTTCTATAATTCACTACTACTATTATTTAGTTTGACAAGACATTTATTTTGAACTTACATTTTGTTCCATTGTACCCATTTCCTGTTCTGCCTTAGAAAGCTTGAATTTGTATTCACTAATCTGTCGGTTGGCATCTCCTACAGAGAAGAACAGAAACCAGTGAGTTTGAAAATACAAGTATTCAAACAATCTGTGATCAGGTACATAATTATAAGGCCAACTTACTCTGCATCTCTATAATGTGTAGGTCTGTACCGTTCTCCATCCTCTCCCCGTCTATGCACGTACTGTCCATCTTTGTGTGCTTCTGTCTCTCCTCCTCCAGCTGATTCCTCAGCTTCCTGATCTGAGCCAGCAGTTCATCTTTCTCCTCTGCCAACTTCCGTAGCCTGACATCTGCAAGACGGATGGAAAATACATTAAGCTGATGCAATTTACTGTAACATGGAGAATGCTGATTGTACAAACTGGAGTCGTCTTTCCCATTACAAGCTTTGGTGCTTGTAACCACTCACACCCCCATCAGATCAGTGTATTTAGCCTTCATGTGAAACGCTCATGTGGACAGGAGCAATATCCCCGACTCACCCAGCGGGCCCTCTCCTGCAGACTCCAGCACCTGGGCGGCCTCCTGGGAGACCACAGTGATTCCTGAGGACAGAGGCTCATGGTTGACATCTCCATTAGGAGTGCTGTCTGGGATGATGATCAGCCCATGTGTCTGTGGCGAGAGAACACACGTTTACTGAGGACCGGTTCCAGGATATGCACAGATTTCACTTTCTTTATATACTACAGCCCTCAGCATGCATGAGAGAAGACAAACAGTTCGATGAAAAATCAAAAACTTGAAAAAGTAAAAGGCCATGGTAAATGACAATGATCTGTAGGACGAACTGAACAGTCAGTTGTCTGTGGCTGTTCAAATGTAGGGTTGCACGATATACGGTACCGGTGGTTATTAAGGTTATTGGGCGATAAGCAAGAAAATGTAATTATTGTTATTGTACATCAGAGATTGAAACAGTCTTGAGGTTATATTTTACTCTCATCGAGTAATCTGCCAGTAGGGATGAACGGCTTGTGCGGTCTGCACGAGCCTTTGCAGAATTGTGACTTCTTCACCCGCCCTGCTCGCAGTAAACTCCCCTCTTAACCTGCAGCCATACGGGGGCTTCTTATGCCTCTAGCGTATCGCTATGAACAAGCTAAAAACTATGGCTGATTGTAAGTAACAGCCGAACACAATCAGCTATGCATCTTAAAATGAGTTCTTGTGGAACAGCCAGCCACCCCCCTCTACCAGACGGTGTTGATCTGCACAGCAGTGAGTGTCTTCACACCAGCAACAGAGCATGATGCCACAGGACTGTTGTAGACAAAAATAAGGGTCCCTGATACACATGTGTATATATATATGATGCGTGTAGCTTAACACTGGCGGTCTGAAGTTGCATTAACCAAAGCCTGACGGCACAAACTAAAGACCCCCGTTCCTATTCTAAAGCCGTGTCTGGATTTAAAAAAAAAAAAAAAAAAAAACCATTCTGAATCTCTCGTACGGTTATTTGCAAATCATCTCTTCGGCATTGTTACCATGTGATAAACAAAAGCAGATGTGGACTACTGTGTGTCTACGTACAGTGACATTACATGCACACCCATTATAAATAAGAAATCCACCAGTAATTGGATATAGTACACTGTAGTCATGGTCAAGTACCAAATGAATTATGGAAAACCAGCCAGTAGTGAGTCAGTTGTCAAGAAAATGAAATGGAAAGAAAAACAAAGACTGAGAAGTAAAAAGTGCGACACAATAGCAGGTCTGATAGCATCTACTGGCTTAGTTCCAACCAAAAGGAAAAGTATAAAAAGCAGTTTTGGGGCCACCAACTCATTCCTCTGGTCTTGTATTTTCTGCTGGGACTTTAGGAAGACCTACCTCTCCTGCTTTGGCCTTCCCCTTGATGTCAGCAAGCTCATCTCTGAGCTCGTCTCTCTCATTCCTAATGCAATCAAAGTACTCTTTCTGCCTCTCTAGGGCCTGGCCACACAGACGAGAAAAGACAAGAGAGTGGAGAAGAGGCAGAGGAGAAGTTTGATCCACTGTGGACAGACATGCAACACCACAAGCTACAGCAAGACATCTCCCATGCACAAACATGAAGTGACTGAACGTCACGCCAACAAAAAAAGACATAGAAACAAACAAACAGATGAGGAGATTAAGAGAGCAGGGACTGAAGATACAGAATCAGTGAGGAGGTCGATCTTTTTGACTTTGCACTTTGTGAAAACTACAAATAACTATGATGCTTTCATCACCAAGAGTCTGACTTCATGACCTAACCACAGGTGGAACATGCATGTCATGCTACAATAGTTATTTATTTTTAAGTTGACATTGCAAACTAAACAAAACAATTTCTATTCCACAGGCTGCCCACTGCAGACTTTAACACGGTGCCGGTGCACTTGCATTGTCAGCTGAGGTCGCGGGATCCAAACCGACAACCCTGTTATTTCGACATGCAAAATTCCATACTGTGAATGTGTCCAGGTATGTGCTAATGCCTAAAGGATCTCCAACATGCAGACACGGCATGAAAGGCAAAAGAGGTGGATGCACAATCATCTTTTGCCTCCCATGTTCTGTCGGAGCACCCCTGTGGGACCTCCTACCCCAATCTTTTTGTCCTTCCAGTTTATGGTTTCCTGCAGGTCAAACGCCTCTCTGGTGAGGGTGTCTAACTTAGTCTGCATTCGCTGGCTCTCCTGGAGCGGCGTTGGGAGCAGTGACAAGACGACAGTACAGGATAAGAACAGAATAATTGAATGGAACAAATACAAAAATGAGAGAAAAGGCACAGGCGAAACACGGTGAGAGGAGACTAATTTGAGGAGATTATGCTGAGACAGAAATGATGATTGAGAGTCAGATAGGACAATGAAACGGAGACAAACATCAGAAGGGACAGAGAGGACCTAGAGGCAGGCAAATGCCAATCAATCCTTATCAAGTTCCTGCAGAACAGAGCCTCCTCTGCAGCCTGCACAGAGGCACCAACACCTTTCAATGTGTTGACAGAATAGCAGTCCGATGTGCTCACGCTGGCAGAAACAGGTTTTTTTTTCCTAATGGGAGGGCGGCCTAACCTCTATCAGCTCATCTCTCTGGCGAATTCCCTCTTTCAGTTCGTCCTGTTTATGCTGCAGGACTGTACACGTGTGCTTTTGTCTTTGTAGTTCCTGAAACCATAGACGGAACATTTCAGCCACAACCCCACCATGTAAATATTTAGCATTTTTTACCTGCATGAAATAGATTCCTGACATGTGGTTTAATACTAAAATAAGCTTCGGATCTTTTCCTTTTAACAGGCAATTGCACCTTTGTCTTGTCTTCCAGCTCCCTCTTCATCTCAGCAGTTTGTTCCTCCATCTCTTCTATGACGTCCTTTAGTGTGTCCACTTGATAGATGAGGTTGCCTTTGTCGTTGTCCAGCTGTGCATTCGATACCATGGCTTTCTTATATTTCTCCTCCACCTCGGCAAGTGACTCCTGATAAGGGTGGGAGCATGTTAATAAACAGTAAATTGGTTTAAAGCTAAGCTCACACATGCAGTACATGCACCAGCTGGGCTCTCGGGTATAAAAACAATTCCTTTTAACAGACATTGGCCAAACATACTACACACGTCTTTTTTTTTTTTTATAAATGTAACATTGACTAAAGGTATAATTCTGTACCACATTTTGTGGAATTTGAAAACAGGTCATTTGTGACTAATATGTGGTGCTATTGATCACGTAATAATTAAAATGCGCTCAATCACTAGCAGGAGTGAAACAAGGCATTGGGGTGAAAAGGGGATCTGAAAGAGAGAACTACAAGTGAACAACCAGGAAACAAGATGGTGAAAAGTAATCTCGCTAAAGTGCATCAGCAGTATCACACTCTACCAAGAACACTAAGGGAGTCAGGTTTGTTAGTGAACTACTCTTATCAATAAAACATACAGTGTTCTTTCTAAAAGCGAGAAACCGCTGAAAGTGACTGCAGGAGTCAGCCAGAGGGTCGTCGTACACTGTGGGTGGTAGAAGAGCATCAGAATTGAAAGCATGGCTGTTATTGGTCAGCAGGAGGAGCATTTTAACTCTTCTTCTGAAACAATTTGAACCCAGTTGAATTGTGGGGATGTCTTCATTCAGGCCACGACCAGCAAGTTGGATCAAAACAGAAAGTGAGGGACGATCATGCAAAAGAACGACCATACGCAATTCACTCTGGGAGCATGCAAAGACACAACTGTGGATTTAGGAGCTACAGAGGGGTATGAGTGGGGAGGCAGGGGGGGGGGGGGGGGGGGTATTGACTGCTCCCAGAGAACAGGAGAAGGCATGCTGTGAGATCAAGCCCCTCTACCTTCAGCTCTTTAAGCCCTTGCATGTACCGCCCTTCTACATCCTGAATCTGGTCCTTTAGTTCATAGATATCCTGTAGAGCAGATGAAAGGAACGGTCGGGGTGAACTGGGGCATCAGAGGGGGGGATGGGTTCAAGGGGAGAGAACAAAGCACCCGTGCTGCCATCTCAAAAACAATCTAGCTGGCATACACCTGACCAGGGCACCCAAGTTTAAAAAAAGTTAACAAACATTAAAGCAGAGAGGGCAGAACAGAGAAAATGCTGTGGAAGGTTTATATGCAGAAGACATGTAGTAGCATCAAACTCTATAACAATGTGATGACAGACATCTGGTACAAGTACAATCGAATTCATACGAGAGCATTTTTTCGTCAGTATATACAGTAAACTCTATAGAAGTGTGACACCGTGTGTATTGTGCGCCTTACCCTAAGTTCACTCAGACTGGTGTCGGGGTCATAAGCGCTACCCGTGTCTGCGCTGCCCCGTCGTGACGAGGTGCCACCCAGTGATGCTAACGTGGCTGCCGAGAGGCCCGGTGTGGCACATCGGGAAGACGGCTGAGAACACAAAGTACCACAATACTCCAGTCAGGAAAAACAGCGCAGCACAACTCAGACAGGTTATTCAACACCATCGCCCTTAAGTGATCCTGCCAAATTCAAATCCTCATAGGATAGGCATAGAAATCAACTTATTGTTCGGTGTGAGATTAAACTTACTGACTACTGCATTGCTCAGTGAAGAATTTGAACGCATGAAGTAAAAAGCTAAATCATGATGCACTCACCCGACTAAAATCTGTATACTGCTTGTCACATTTGTCGTCCAGCTGAAATAAAGAGAAGAAATATTATAAAAACAGATCATCAGTATTTTGAGAAGACCCATCCTGTGATGTCATGCTTGGAGTCGTTTCCGCATCTGTAAATCAGGGAGTTAGTTCAGGAGTTAGTAGGAGTCTTGGATAAGTGCTGCATGTTCACAGATCATAAAGAGTTCACAACCAAACGAAACACTGCGAGTGAGTGAATCACACCACTATTAAAAGAAGATTCTTTTCTTTCATGCTGCTGCACACACTGCAGTCACATCCACTTCAGTTGAACTTAAACCACCTAACGTATTTATAGTCAAAAACACATGGTGGGATGAGTTTTGAAAACCAAATGTTATCTTTCACCATGCATCACTGGGGTTGCACTTCTCAGCCCACCGTTGTGAACTTACAGCGTCCAAATCCGGGATGCTCAAATCATCAAAGTCAGACACAATACTGCCTCTCCGGTTGGTGCGGCTGAAATAATCAGCAGCCGACTCACTAATGTCCGAGAAGTCAGACGACTGCTTACAACACACAGAGGAGGAGGAGGAAGGTATGGACAGAGAAACAAAGGACAACAGAGGGCCAAAGAGTGAAGACCATCAGTGAGGAAAGAAACGGAATATACAGTCAGAAGAGAGCACTGTTCAAAGGTCAAGGAGTTTAAATGGCTCTTGTGCGGTACAATAGAATGAAACAAATAGTTTGCAAAGCTTAGATTACTACAGTGATAGAGTAGAACATCAGTCTAGACTTCGTACAGCCCGGTCCCTACAGCTCACCACACTGTCCCTGCGGCCTCTGCTGAAGCGATCCTGGGACACGCTGCTGACAGTGTCATCATCAGAGGAAGACTGAGAGGAATACGCACACACACACACACACACGCACGCACAAGATGAGGAGTCAAAGTAACGTAGGATGGACACATGCCCAAGGCTTTCTACGACACACACACACACACACACACACACACACACACACACACACACACACACACACACACACGTTCAAAACAGCAATCCGTAGACATCCAGTAGCAGTCTCTGTATTGAACAGATTATTGGATTACTCTAAAGACTCTCACACTATACGGAAGGCTGATTCATGCAATTAGGAACATTTCGTCAAATACACGAACTGGAGCAAAGTTAGACAAGACAATCTTGCTACAACATCTTAGCCTGCACAGCACTCCTTAATACACACACTTTGATGTCAATCAACAATGCTGTTCCCTAAAGCAGGCTGTGGGTGATCAACACCGTCCCTATGAGGAGGGAGGCCTGCTGTTGAGAGGGGGCGAGGGGAAGCTTGTTAATAGCGGGCATCTGTGTGCGTGGTGTAATCTGACATCATGCAGGGGTGGCGGTGGTTTGAGGTGCTCACCACGGGGCTGCTGCGGGTGGAGCTGGCTCTAGAGGAGTAACAGCTGTATTCAGAGGGCTGCGGATGGGAGGAGGAGGACATCACAAGGGATCAACATGAGGACAGACTTCAGGCCACATGCACAACGGTTAGCTGCTGTGGTGGTGACATTGCTTTAACGCTGTTTGACAAACATTCAGAAGACTTACAGGTCTTGAAGTGTATCCCGAGCCGCTAAGACCGGCATCATTGCAAATAGAGGCCTGAGGGCACACGTGGGAGACAATGCAGGGCTCAGCAACACACAGAGGGGGAGCATGAATCTTTGGCGCACTAGCTAAAGAGACAGACTCTCTGGGCCATGCAATAAACAGAAAAACTCTGCATTTCAAAACATGAAGTAGGCCATTTGTTTCAGTGCTCTACAACAAAAGCCCTGGCTTCACGCAAACTTCTGCCTTATCTAAAGGAAGCACCAATCTCTGGCCACCGCCAAGAGCTCAGAGTGTCCAGGAGCTAAATATAAGCAGTCCCAGCCACCCTGAGCATCCTATCAGATGTATGTGGCCACGAGAGGGGGGAATGTTTACTTCTGAAGGCAACATGAGGCATACAGAGAGACGTTGGCGACTCAAGTGGACGGAAACTGACCATGCTGTAGCTGCGAGGCAGCCCCGTGCCAACGGTGGAGGAGGAAGAAGTGGTGGCCTGTCAGAGAGGAGGGGAGCCGGGAAATGTCAGTTTAGAGGACAGAGGAAAGCTGTGCTTGGAGTGTGAGAGACTAAAGAGCTGCAGAAAAGGGAAACAGGATGAATGTTTCGCTGAGCTTGTAACTTTTAGGGGGAAAAGTGTTGAGGAGCAGGGGGGGAGGGGGGGGGGGGTCAGGTGACACTGTGGAATGTTTTAATACTGGTGAAGAACCACCTTTGTCAGTCAGCAAGTAATCTACGTAAATTCAAATGATCACAAGAACTGCTTCACAGGGGTAAACTACACCAACCTCAAAACCATGATTTTCTCTTTGCCTTTATGACACAAACAATGTCTCTTATTGCAGTTATACAACACGTTTGTTATGCATATACGTAAATGTCCAATAAACTAGACCATGCAGATGGTAGTATACTGCTTCAACTGGCTCTGATCAGCCTGTGTATGAAAAGGGTTGAAAGTTGGACAGCACTGTCAGGGGGACCGACCCGAGGCCGATAGGTGGAGGTGGAGGGAGGAGGCGTTGGTTTTGTCTTCGTTAGGCTGGAGTAGTTCCTTTGATCGTGGTAAAGTCCAGTCTGGAAGGGTAGTAACATAACGTTGACCTCAAAACAAACACCAACATAACAATTTGTATCCTCAAGGGTCAGACTACCATCTTTTTCAGACACACTCAACATGGCTTGGCCAACATCTACGTGACACTTCACAAGACAATAAATAGTCAATCTTATCACGGGTAAAGTCGATCAGCAGTAAATCATCACGGCAAGCCACCATCATTAGTCGACACTGCCTCCATGCTCAAGGCTGCAGAAGACACACAAACAGGGGTACACTGACCAGCAGGTCTTTCTTCGAGGAGCTGGATGAGGCCCTTTTATGGCCATGCAGGTCACTGTACACAGAACTCTGTTCAACCCACAACAAAAATTAAAAATGAGGCAAAAGGACTAGAGGAAGAAGCAGCGTAGAAGCAGTGATACACAGCTGATCATCACATAGGTACATACAGTGGAGCGGGAACTCTTGAGGGTGGAGCTAGAGGAGAGGCCATCAGACTGAAGAGAGAACAGGAGTCACAAGAATTACGACGATTAAACAGCTGGGAAGCCGTTAGGTGCGCGCTAGCAGAAACACACTCCACGCGTCTCACCAACAATATGTTAGTTGTTCAACAGGCAACAAGTAATCCAACACGCAAGCAAACGCTGCATTTCTATATGACCGGTCAAGAACAAAAACATCTGTAAGTGTCACTCTGACAATTATGGTGGTTGTGTGTTATTATAATGTTGAAAACACAGTCAGCCTTGAGTTTGTTGTATCAACAGGTGCAAATGCAGACGCTGCCTACGTAATCCTGCTGAAAACAGCATTGAGTTTCTGTGTTTGATGAGAACTGCACTAAATGTCTCTTCAAGGTAAACATTCCCAACACTTTAAAAGCTGAACAGTCTATATCAAAGTTTAGTGTCAGCACATCAGAATCACACAGCAAAGCATTCAAAGATGATTCAGGGAGAAATTCATTGTAGAGAATAAAGTACAACAGACAGTGGCTTCAGTGACACGTCTCTCTCCAGGTATAACCTAATCTTTCGTAGGTGAATCGCCGATATGAAAAGAGAATAACTGGAGCAGAAGTAGATGAGCCAGACGAAAGGAAAGTGGAAACACCAAGGAAATTTGGAAATCTTAAATCAGCTGTTTGTATCCAAGCATATCCTTTTGAATCAGAGTGAATTCTGCTTTGCACGTTAAAGTTAGCCAGACATGAACTCCAGTTACATGCTGAGAATCAGTTCATCCAATCAATCAGTTGCCAAACTCCACATGTATACACATTGTGCACTCACAACGCACCAACACATCTTTTCTATGGGAACTGGATCGACTGTTAGACCCCAAGTCACGTGTCGCCGATGATGTTGACTTCAAATTAAAAACAAAAAGAAAAGCAAAGATTAGGAGAAATCTTCACGTTCCAACCATTTTATGCATTGATGCAAAACACTACCAAATAAAAGTATTTCACCCAAATGCATTAATTAAACAAGCACTTCCCTAACAAGAACAATGGCGTTTCACACATCTGTGTGACCCTGTGAGAGAGCAGTCTTAATAAAAAAAACTTCCAGAGATTTATTATGCATTACGCACCCTGTAGCTGCGGACTGACATGACATCATCATCCAGCCCCTGTTGGTGTGGAAACATGGAGTCACAGCAGAGAAGCAGACAGAGAGGAATATGTCTGATGAGACATTAACTGCAGGATTAAAGGAGAAAAGAAGAACGGAAACAAAGGCAGACAAAGAGGAAGCGTGTGGGGGAGATACAGACCCGGCGATGACGGCTGGTTATACTACTACTAGAGCCTCTGGCTTTTTCTGAGTCAGCCTGGAGTGAGGAAGGAAAGTTGGGAAAGATTACAGAGTGAAAATAGAGCGGCAAGGTCACTGCAACGCTCAACAGTTGCTAAGCAAAGACCAAAACATGCAAAACAACTTTGGTGATCATGTTTATAACCAAAAGGATGTCATAAACAATTGCAAATGTTATCCGCTTCAAGCATGGCAGCAAGATTAGTGATACACAAAAACAGGTAATATTGCACATTTGTGTCTCATCTGTTTTTTTTTTTTTTTTTTAAAGGCAACAAGACTGCACCCAATGAAACCTCTGCTTCTCTTTCTTGCATCAAAACACAGAGATCCATTGCATGCAAAAGTTGTTCATCAACATTCAACAGCCTCCATCCTTTCTGAAGCAGCTGGAGGAGTAAAACTTAACGTCCAAACCGCCTACTTGCTTGCAGACTCACCCACCCTAAATAAAGTCAAAGGCCAATGCATGCTCTATGAAAACACACAACCACAGATTACAGTGTCTCCAAAGCAAATACATATTTCTACAGTGAGGTGTAGTCTGGGAGTCAAGTGGAGCTAAATGGTCAGGCTTGACTGGGGCTCAATCCCACACAACAGGCTGGGTTAGTGGAGTGAGCGGCTGCAACCCTCTCATGCTCGCCTACCATCCACTGGTGGATCTGACCCCATTTTCTGGTGCTACTGCTGGAGGAGAAGTAAGAACGCTGGGCAGGGGGAGAAGTGCCAGGAAAAACCAAAAACATACAATCATACTTCACTCAAAACTGCTGAAACGTAAAAAAAAAACTGGGTGACATTCACTTCAGGAATAGAACTTTTGGTTTCATCTGTGGACATGCAGCGCTTTCATTTTTCTTCCTGTGGGTATATATTTATGTATATGAACCGTCAGATTAATCTAAAAATGTCTTTTAAGGCATAAGGCCAAGCAGCTCCTCTGCACTATGGAGGCAGATGAGTAGCTTGCCAACACGGAGTCAGTTAATGTGGCATCTGTCCCAAATAAATAAATAAATAGAGGCGAAAACAAGGCCAGTTTCCATATTCAATCTCCAGTTGATCTGTGCTGAGAGCAGCAGTTATGGTGCATTAGCTCCCTTGATGGGTAGACGGTGCATCTTTGCCGATCAGATCCACTTTTTTTTATTTTTTTATACCTCTTTCTGCTGCCGCTCAAGTTCCTTCATTCGAATATCCCTGGCCTCCGCTCGAGCCGCCCTCTTGGCTGCAAGCCTCGCCTCCGCCTGTAAGACACAACATGAACACACTTGTTAGCCATTACTGGAAACTCGTAAAGGTGCCTTTCTCTGGAAGACGCACCCAGTGAGTGCAAAGGAAAAAAAAACAAAAAACACACAATGAAGAGAATATCTTCAATCAACAACCAATCACACAGTAGGATGTACATGAGTCTCCTGTAAGAGAAAGGAGACCGTGGAAAATGTACATTTCTTCATGGTTGATAAGCCCAGCTTCTTTCACCAGCTGGAAACTAATTAATTAATGATTAGGTTGACTTTATGGAAGCGTTCCATGGTTATAACATTGTAGTTTATTGTTTAGATATATCAAACAAATCAAATTTAAAAAACAAAATGAAAAAAGAAGCAGAACTGCTTTGTTTTCTCATATATACAATCTAGTGGAGAGGACAGTTATGTGCAGCATCAGGATAATGTGTCATGTGTAGAATAAAATGCATTTACTTACTGTAGAGAATACTGCCTTTTAAATGCTCAATACAACAGAGCACACGGAGACTTGTTGGTGACCTCACACTAGGAATAATGCAGTTACCTACAACTGTACAGGTACCTCCGTATATGTTGGCCAAAAAGTAACAAGAAGCAGGAGTACAGAAATGCCAAAGATATATTTGAGGTCAATTAGAAACAGTTACTAAGTCACAGTTCACCCACTAGAGAGCAGTAGAATTGTTCCACTGAACACATTCATATGGTTCCTTATAAAAAAAAAAAAAAAAAAATGCTTGTTCATCCTTAATGTAAAAATATATTAATATTGGCTGATATATTACGATGATTAAATGTTTCACTCTCAAAAAATATTATAAACTTACTAAATCAACTATTGGTCAGGATAGAATATGGACAGCATAAATTCACCACAGAGTTCACACTGTACCGTGTGCCCTCAGCTGACCAGTTTAGTCCGTGAGCCACAGCGCTTGGGACGCCTCATCACCAACATGTGCTAACCATCAGTTCCAGGAGGGCTGACGTACAGACCTCACGGGGGAGATGCCAATAGTGCACAAACAAACTGACAGAGGGGATCAAGGATCAAGAGAAAACAGAGTGTGGTTCTGCACAGTCGATAAACACGGAGGCAATTTCAGAACTAGCTGAACCTATAGCACAAACAAGTGGGACGCAAAGACAAACTCTCCTCTGGGGGCCAGGAGCTCAGCACAAGGAGCTAATTTAGGCAAACGCCTCCACAGCCCTGAAGAGTCACACAGGTGACCATGTATACCATCCTTCCATCACTTCCATAATACCATTTATACGCTCTGAAACTGAACATCCCACCAACAAAGAACGGCACGCTTGCTTATGGAGCACAGGCCTTTATCTGTTGCTAAAAGACAGTCCATAAATACAGCATGTGGTGTACTGTGTACAGTATCGCACAGCAGACAAACACTGTCGGCATTCCAGCAACTTCTTATCTGCACTGCCAGAATAGAAGGCCGGTGTGCATAGGCTATTCCTGTTTCAATACCAGCCTGGAGTGAACAAACAGTTTTATAATAATGATGAACAACCACCCATATTCAGGTTATTTTTGCCTCCAAGCCTAGTGTTGCATAAAAGGAATAAAAGTAAAGTTAGGGTGATGAGTGAGGTACAGTAATACCCATTTAGTAGCCAATACATAAATCTTAAATTCCATCATCACTAATGACTTATATCGAATGATTTGTGATTCCTTTTTTGTGTACTATGTAAGATTTTCTTTTGTAAAACTGCATGAACACCTACGGTTAAATGCCCTTTTATGAACGAACGTTCATGCACTGTGGGGTAATTCCTACGGCCGCTCTGTGTGATTTTGGAATCTAACTGACGGCCAAACATTTACAAACTTGGTACAAGGTATATTAAAAATAAATAAATAAATAAATTTAAAAAAAAAGTACATATGCGAGGGTATGAAGAGAGAGCAAATGAGAAAGCAAGCGATACGGCCAACGCTGTGCTCTGCACCTGTTGAGCAGTCCGACAGTATGACCCGCTATGCACAGCAGCACAGCTGAGCGCTCTGTCTCTGTCCTATCTATAGCCCGGCCCATCCTGCCCCGGCTCCGGCTCTCTGACGGCGATATCATGAGGCTGGAAGGGTAACCTGAGCAGCCGAAAGTTCACCATCAAACACACCTACAGCAATCTGGGCAGTACGAGTCCAGCAATCCTCTATGAGCTCATCTGGAGTGCTCCCAACAATGAATTGTGTATACTGAGCTAATACCCCGGTTAGGGTAGCACCAATGAAATGAATTAAACTGGTAGGAAATAAGCTTGCAATAGGTATATTAAAAGGAAGGTGCTGATATGTAAACAGAATGCTTCAACATCAATGAAATATAATACAGAATTGTATCTAGCAATAAACCCAGGCAGGTTTAACGACAAATACACTGCTTATTGCTAAATCAACAAGTTACTTCATTATAGACATCAAAAAGTGAAGACATACTACTACACACAAATACAAAAACGTATATCTTCAGCTTTAAAAAAAATAAATAAATAAAAAAAATAAATAAATAGGCCTGCACAGTCACTCCATCTTATGTTAACAGCTTAACTTTGGTCTCTTTTGCAACATTAAAATGACACCAGACTAATCCTTGAAAACAGTCATTGCTTGCTTCTAATACGACAAAAACATGAAATTTTAAATGTCCAATAAAATTCAACTAGTGTTAAAAAGCTTGCATTGACAGGGGGATGAAGTCTGATCAAACAGGTAGTCCTTGTCCATCGGTTGTTCACAAACACTAAGATGTTCTGTCTGCCGACAGTCTACAGAGAGAGAAAGTGAAAAACTTTCCATTACAATAATGACTTGATATCACAAATCATATGAACTATGAACTATAGCTTCCACAAAAAACACACGCACGCACACACACACCCTTTGTACACTGACAAAAGTCAATGATTGCCTTGTTCAAGTACCATTCGCTCCCTTAGATCCTAATCTGAGGGACAACAGGAATGAGATGATCATCTAATTCTAACACATGGCCACTGTCAGATTACTAAGCAAGCTGCTGGTATTCAGAAGGACTGAGTGGCCAGAAATGGAAGAGGCCTCAGAACTGAGCTGTGGAAGGTGTAGGCTCAAATTCACAGTCATTCTCAGCAGTGATTGGTGCCAGGCGCAGGCAGGCAGTAACTCTTCCTAACCAGGCACAGACAACACAAGGCAGAAGCTGCAGTGTTTTGAAGATTTGTTTGAGAGGCTGGCGGGTTAGACACTGACCGCTTGAGCTCCCTGCACCGTTGATCCGATCTCTGCTTTGCTCCACAAAGAGATTCAAATTCAAAACCTGACTGGGAGGGTCAGATGACTCATGTTTCTATGACCGCCTGCATAACTATAAAGAGAGCAAATGGAGCCGTTGTGCTTAGTGCCCAAGAGTGAGAAACTGCACAGATAAAAAAAGTATTCTTAAAATGGGCCAAGGCAAATATTTAAGAGAAGACAACTTATCCAGTGTTACATTTCTACCTGTAAAAACAAGAAATAATGTGACCATATAGCTTCAAAGACAATCTGCAGATAATGTGGCTTTTTTTCCCCCCTTACACCTGCAATAAAAAGAGACATTAAAACTCTGAAAACTGATCTTTGCATTTCATGTTGTTGGCTACCTCACTCTGAAAAAAGGCAAAGGAATGGCAGCCCTGCTGTGGAACAAAATGGAATAATCCCAGGGCATGTCGTTACAGGCTAGGCAGCTTCTCTCCCCCAAATGAAAACACTACAAGTCAAGTCAATCTCTCGGCAGTCCAAACCAGCTGTCTCCACTCACTTGAGCTGAAATACATCAACCATGGAACCTGAATATCCACATTTAAGTATATGCGTCAGAGTCTCATTTGCTGACACGACTATGACCGCCACGTTTCAAATCAAACACACGGGTGTTGAATGGAGAATTTAGCAAGCAAGCCTAACACGCGACACATTATTTAGCAGTTTGCATTTGAATCTGAAATTGCTCCCAATATTCAAGAAATCTACCCAGAGCTGTTCACAAACAGTACAGACGACAAATCCTATTAAACTGCAGAGATAGTCAGAGTTCACTTGATTACCAGAACTGCTTATGTTTACGCCATCACTTGTTAGTAGTCCCAATATATCCCTGTTGTAATGAATAGTTTGGTTTTAAGAAGAACACAAAAGAGAATCACAAACCACTAATGTTTGAAAGATACAAATATAGTTGAATAATTTACCCAATCTTTAGAAAAACAAATTACCTGGACATGATAAAGAATAATGTTTTCTGCAAATATTAGGGAAAAAACAAACAACCTGTCTGGCACAAAATGCCAATCCCAAATTGACCATATTTAGATTTTTTCCAATCCATTTATTTGAGTTATTCAGAGTCAATTTCATAAATAATACTTTCGTTTTTTTTTTTTTTTTTAGAAAGGTATCACAAAATAGAAACGCTTAACATTTAGAAGACGGTCAAAGCATTTTTTGTGTAGTTAATGATACAACATTGACTATAGATGCAACTGAAAATATCCCATTTAAACATTAACGTTTTCAAGCTTTGGCAATACATTACATTTAGGTTTTAGCTAATAAGGGCTCACTTTCAGCCCCAGTGCAGTGTCAGCCACTAATATTCATTAATGCATATAATGGTTTCATCTGTATAGTCATGATCCCTGTGTTTTAAACAGAATGGTGCTGTGATGGGGCTGCTGCACAAATTAACGACATCCGAGACTGACAAAGCAATCTTCCACCTATGCTTAAAAAGCCCATCATCTGGAGAAGGATAAACAAGACAATTTGAGCAGGATAAAAATTACATTAGAATTGATTAAACATTGCATGAATAGAGCAATGTAGGGAGAATATAGCCTAGATCCATTCCACTTTGACCCAAATTAGAAAAAACAGGGTGTATATGATGGAGTTTGAACTTACCTCCCGAGCAATGCTACTCAAAGCCTCATCCTCTGCTGAGAACCGGTCTTTCACGGGGGCACGCTTTCTACCAGAGCCTTGTGTCCCCATGTTGCCTCTGCAACTGTAGCTCCACCAATGATGTGCAAGGCCAGAAAATACACAGAAGCGTATGTCGACAGCTGCAGGAAAAAAGCAGAGACAAAAGAAGCGTATTCTAATAGTCTGTAAACAAAGCTAAGTTAGGGAATAATGTGATGTACATTCTTCAGTTTCAACTACATTTCATAGAGTATGATTTTATTCACGCCAATCTCACTAACAACCCATACACTCCCCATCTCCCATGAACCAGCTTTAACGTGACATGCAGGACCACTGCATCCTTATAATTCAGCATTTGAACACAGCATTCAAATAAACAACAGCTACTGATGTTTACAGAGGGAATGAGTATATAAAGCTATACATTTGAAAATGATCTGAAACCACGATTGTTTACTGGCTTGCATTAGCTGGCATTATAGTATTCTTCATCATCGACATGATGATGTATTTGAGGAACATCTTGACAATATTGGTGACATCACAGTAACAAAAGAGCACTATAGCTTGCTGGTAAAGACAGGGGGAACACGCCTAGTTTAGAACCCAGCTGAGTCAGAAGACACAAGAGAGACATGAGCACTCATTGAAGACGTTTGATGATCTGAACCCCGTGGAGCCATAAATCAAATTTAATAGTTTGACCACCTCAGCGTCCCTTGCTAACAAATCAATGATAAGTCATGGTCAATATACAACAAGATGATAAATTACGTAGCTTACGTTATTCAACCATCTTCAGCTAACTTACTGAAACGTTAACTCGGGCAGTTTTCCAACCACAGACAAATCTAACAATATACCTAGACCATGGCCATAGGAAAGGGATAGAGTTAGGTTAAAAGGTATCTCAATGTACTGCTCTGTGAGCGTTAGCTAGCTAATTATGCTAACATTTACGTTGACTAGGGTTAGCCAGCTCAACTGTATGCTAACTAGAGGTGCTAGCGTTAACTAGCATTTCGTCCTCTCGGAATTCTCGTTAAAGAGTTAGCTAGCGTCACCTTTTTAGGTTATTCCTCCGCCACCGCTGAAGCGAGCGCTTTACAAAAACGAGAACTATCCACACATGTACTTGCCCCAGCAATGACCCCCAGCACCGACGACTATCTCTGGGAGCCAACGCTGATCTAGCTGGGTAGTTAGCTTGGCTAGCCAGTGGGGCTAACCTCGACTCTCCTGAGAGGCAGACAGGGCAAACTGGCATTGATCCTCCCGTCATATTCCCCATCCCAAATATGTAACGTTACCTCCGCGACACCTTCAAATCAACCGCGACACTGCCAAGGCGTTGTCCCTTTCTCCAGGAGGTTTAGGGGAGAGCCATTCAGAGATTGGTAGTGTTTTTGTCCACACTGACAGCTGTCATCAGTCCGCCTTTCCAGCGCTTTTCACTGCCCGGTGGTTAGATACAAAGGTCCCGGATGTTGGGAAAAATTAGGGTGTGATGCTGCCTTCATGGCCCGTCAGACACGTCGTAATGCCAACAGTTATACTCGACTGGGAGAGAGCGGTTTTCCATTGAGTGATAATGAATAGGTCTGGTATAATAACATGCTGAGTGACTTCCCACTGTTTTAGATTAAGGGGCTGACAGCATTGAAATTGGAAACAAGTAATGACGTTAACTGCTGGTATTATTGTGACTATATGAATACTCGACTGTAATGCACAATTATACTTCGTGCGTGGACCCATATAACAGACTTATATTAATCTTTTTTAATTCCATGCATTCACAAACAACACAATTCATTTTGTATTACAGGTCGCAAAATATGCCTAGTTAATCAATTATTATATCACCTGTTATATTGTATAAAGCTTAAAATTCTATATTGCTGATCAACTTATCTTGTTTATTAAAGATCCATATACCTTTGACACTAAATCAAAAGAGGATGGCAAAAGCAGTCTGCTTTGTCGGCTAATTACATTTTGTCCAGAAGAGGGCAGTAATGGATAATGAATTATTCTTGGTGGCATACTATATTTAAACAATGTCGTTACGCCTCATTTAAATAGATATGCTCAAAAATAGAATTGCAATCAACCACCACAATGAAGCACATAATCCAGTGTGGACTGCTGGTTTCCTGATGATGTTGTTAAGATTTTGCTTTTTTATGGTGGTGAAGTTGAAATATTTAAAGTAATCTATAGTAGAGTATTTTGGCAAAGAAATTAGAGTCTGACATTTCTACCAACATGTATGCGTGAGTGCAGTACACCAGCATAACAATGCAAGCAGTACAAGCATTATGTATGCCTCATCTCTTGTAGATTTTGTTTGTATGTGGTAAAGGGGGGGGGGGGGGTTCATAGGAAGACCTATAGGACCTGCATGGGAATCCCCTGGTTGACACCATAACACAGGTTACATTTAAACAATTCCAGACATACACTCACAAACCCACTCAGTTGCTGTATTATTCTCCCTCATCATAGGAGGCTAATGACTGTTTTGTCTCTGATCACCCCTCTCTGTTTGCTACCGTGCAGACAGAGATTACTGGAGTCTTAACCCAAAGACACCATCAGCCAAACTGTCTCCATGCTGCCACTCCTGGTAAACTTTCGATGTAGTCATCATTTTAAGCTCTAATTAACCATTGTTTACAGTCATAATAATAAACGATCTCATCTAAATTGGCAACAGATGCACAACACTGGATTCAGTTATGCAGCTGCTAATCAAACTGTAATAATAGTAATTACAACTCTATGGCCTTTCAGTTGCAGTGGTGCCTGAACAGACAGTCCTCGTTTAAAAATAGGGGAAAAAATATTTTATTAACATACATAACATTATGAAGTTATTTTTGAAAATTGGTACTGGCTCTGTGAATATTATTGGATAAGCTATAGTGGAGAAAAACAGGAGGCCTAAGGCATCCAGACAGTGCTTAATTGTGTTTGTCTAGGTTTATGGCCCTTTTAACTCATAAACATTTGGCTTGTTTTCCTGGGACAGACAGGCATGTACTCAGCTGCACCAAACCTGAAAACTCTCCACGTCTTTCTCTTGAGTATCTTTTGTCTTTGTTAATGTTCTCCTCATCTGTTACAGTCTCACCATAAACAGTGGGCTTTTTGTGTGAGCATAAGGGTGGATTTGTATAATTTTGGATGGCATGCACCACCGGTGGTTGGAAACGCCTCCCACTGCGCTAACAGGACTGGCTCAATTGTTAACTGGTCTGTCTTTAAGCCTGACTCTCCACAGAAAAAGGAGTAGAAACCATGGAGCCCCAACTTGTAATTACCCCATGGAGGGCAATGCTCCCTCTCTCCATCTCCTCTGGAGCCCTTTGAAGATGCTCCATAGGGAGTTGGTTGTAATCAGGACACATGACTCATTGATTACTCCTTTTCAGTCTTCCAGGAACACAGCATAAGGAGTGGACGCAGCAGGGGGAGGGTAGTCCCCTCAGACTGTGCAGATAGACCGGAGGTGCAGATGCAGGGAGAACAGCACGGACTGAGTCTTGGACACAAATTAGATGCTATAAACAATCGGATGTGCTTTGTTTTTCTGGTGGTTAGCTCAGTTGGTCTGTTAAACTGGCTATTCATTACTGTCTGGAGTGAGGATGAGCAGCTATATGCCAAGGAAGGCTATGAGTCTGCAGGTTTTCATTCCAGCCAAAGTCATTAGTACACCGTCAGCCAGGAAGAGGAGTAACTAATTAGTGAATGCACCTGGATTCAAATAAAACCCACATAGTGAAAAAATATACAATTTCTACTGTATGTGTTCTTCCCAATGTTTGTGCATTTTGTTTTACATGATTATGACCGGCATGACATACAAATAATACAAAATATTAGCAGTATATTTTTGGTATCGCACTTTAATATCACATAATTCACTGTTTGTACTTTTGTACCTAGTAATTCTCATTCGTAGGGAGAATGCACGAAAAATGAAACAGAACTTTTTGTAAGATATTATACGAACCATTGTATGACGATACATTGCATAATTATACTGGAAACACTATGAACATGTAGAAGGCAGGTTAGCCTTAATAAGCTGTTGAAAACTGGCCATTGTACACAAAATTAGTTCACATAGCTCTTCATGGGAAATGGTTGCCTGTCCCTAAAACATATAATTTGTCACATAACCTGTATTTTTGCTTCCTTCTCTTTTCCACAATAGTTGTATTGTTTCCCTGTAGTTAAATGTCCTAACACAGGGTAGCTGAATGTTTTACACATTTTAAATTGCAAAAGGTTGTTAGAAAAAAAGAGTTAAGGCATGTGATAAAAACAATACAACTATCTCTTGTTGTGTGAAACCAAAGGCCGGTACAAAGTTTTTATCTACATAGCAAGACTTGCAATAGATTGTTAGAAGATGCTTCGTTTAGCATTGAGAAAGACATCTCTGGTAAACAGAACGGGCAAAGCAAGTAGACCATAAAAGAGATCATAAAGGATGTCTTTTGATGTTTCTGGACTTGCACTCTGGACACCTGTGGGGTTGAACCCAGTGACTGGCTGTCCTATGTGGACATGTTGAGTAGAGGTAATTGGGTCATTACTTGACAAGAAGCTGAACTAAAGCCTGAGGCAATGCTTATGATGTATTAAACGTGTATTAATTGCACTTTGCAGGGAGTATAGATTCAATGCATTCTTGCACAACCACCCGTTGTTTTTTGTTGAGAACTTAGAACAAGTTTTGTTTCATTTTTTTGTTTGCAAGTGTGTCTCTGACCTCTGCTTCTCCCTCAGCACTCACAAAAAGAGACCTGTATCGTGTCCATTAACAGTCATGAATCATAGGGCATGGTTTCTGTTTGAATTGCATTGTCTTTTTGGCAGTCAAGCGTTGTGGATGTCTTGGTTTTCTCACACAGGTCTGTGGCTGATGTCTACTGCCTTCCCTGGGAGATCAATAGTAATGTGGGGTGTGTCGTTCAGGCCTGTTCAGATGGCAAAACAAGAATCAGAGGAGCGTGGAGCTGCATACGAGCTACACACACATACACCCAGGTCATTGTTGATGACCACACTGCAACAATAGTAGTCTTGGAGTAGCAGAAAAAGCCTGCAGCAGGGAAAGTTCAAAAGCCAAATAAGGAATGCTGTCTACTTACCAGAGGCTAGTGGAGAGGCACATTGGTCATATTGTGCCTTTATCTTGTCAGAGATGAGGATCGTTTGTGCTGCGGATGATATGTTTGTGTCTGTCCTCCACTCGTTTGTCTCCATTTATATTGTGATTGCTGGATGATACCATTTCAAGCATTCAAAGGCTTTTTGTGTAAAGAGCAGACCATAAATAAGACAACTGTCATGCAGGTAGTGTTTGCGTGTCTGTGTGTCTTCGTCTGCATCTGTGTCTTTGCAGGATTTCAATTATTATTATATTATTGTTTGACGCAGCAACCATTTAAAGGTCTATAATTCTTTATTTGTCAACATTTAGCATCCTCAGGCCCTTATAAAGAGAATGGTTAGCCTAATCAGGGTCTTCTTCGGGGGTGGGCTGGGCTTATTTGCCAATTGACATTTGGTGAAAGGGTGTTAGCTGAAAAAAAGCACCTCACACCATGAGGTAGAAGCCTCACGCCAAAACTCATTTCAGACGTGTTTTGTTTGTGTGTAAAGAGGAACTCGCTTCACCACTCCCTACTCAGTGCACAACACAATCTCTCTGAGATGTGTGAAGTGTGTTGCGGCCCGTAACCCTTTCTTTAAACCTTTTCATGTAAGTGAATCGGTCAATTTGCCTATATCCTTCTTCTTCTTCTTCTTCTTCTTCTTCTTCTTCTTCTTCTTCTTCTTCTTCTTCTTCTTCTTCTTCTTCTTCGTTTTGACAGCATAATGGATGTAATTGCATGTTGATATTTGGGACCTGTTATTTCAGCATTATCATTAGAACAGCACCGGCTGATTACATTGCTTACCCTGTAATTACTTTAGGGGGACAACAAAATGGGTGCAATTGTGCAATATTGATAAGTACAGGTCAGGTCGCTTTAGTGTTGGACATGCCTATAAATTATAATAAATATGTAATATATATCTGTAATCTAATTAAATAAAAGCTTTCTTTAGGATATATTTGGCTGCTTCAGAAATGTGTACACTGACCTTTTTTGGTCAAGTCCAATTTTGGTATCTGCCTACTTTGATGTGGCAAACCTGCATGATAAATCTACAGTGTGATGGAACATATCCCTTTCCTTTATTGGTTAATTTTGATGATAATGTATTGAAACAAGGTCCTCCTATTCCTGCATACTTACACGGACAGCAAATCGTGTTAAATCAGGAATTCAGCCAGTTCAGTGGTGTTATGATGTGGCCTGAGGCTAATAAAGTTCAATCTCCTCTTGCATCACCCTGTGAAGACTCAACAATACTCAATTTATAATGACTAGGCACTTCTGAGTGTAAAGTGACTCCAGTTTGATGTGCGT